AAAATATATTAAATAAATTTAAAAAATATAAATAACGCATATATTAATTAATATAATAATAAAAATTTTTAAATAAATAATTTTAATATATTTAATGTAAACATTAAAAATTTAAATATAAATTATAATTTAATTTATAAAGATTTTAACTTTTTTTAAATAATTAATAATATTAAAAATATAATTAATTTTATAATAATAATATATTTAAATAAATTATTATTATATTAATTATATAAATAAAATTTCTTTAATTAAAATTTATTATTCCGTTATTTTTATTAAAATTATTTTAAGTTTAATTATATAAACGTTTTTTTTATAAATAATATTATTATATATTTTTCCTTAAAATATAAAATAATGTAAATTTTTTCGTAATTTTAATAATTATCCGAAGAAACAATTAAATATATTAATATAATTATAATATTAAATTTATTTTTAATGAAAATAAATTATATTAATAATAAAATAATTATAAATAATATAATTAATAATTAATTTATTATTAATTATAAAAATTTATAAAAATATTTTTAAGCTTTAATAATTTATAAATTATTAATTATTTTTTTTAAAATAAATTTAATTTTAAACTTTAATATAAGTTTTTTATATAAAATAAAAATATATTTAAAAATGTTTTTAATAATATTTTTAAATTTAAAACATAAAAAAAATATTTATATAAACTTAAAATATATTAAAATTTTAATTAATAAAACATAATTTTTAATTTATTATAAAAATATTAAAATTTATATTAAAGTTATATTAATATATATTAAAGGAATAATTAATAATTAATATATTATTATTAAATATATAATGATATAATTTTATTTTAAAAGATTTTAAAATAATTAATTAGTTATTATAATATTTATCCGAAAAATAATTTTAATAAATGAATTAATTGTTTATATATTACTTAAAATAAACATTTTAAATAATAAAGAATTTAATTTATTATTTTTTAAAAAAATAATAATAATATAATTATATAAAATAATTATTTTTATATTTATTAAGTTAAATAATTATAATAAGTATTAAATTAAAATTATAATAATATATATTATAATAATTTTAATTAAAATATACGTGTATATTAATATATAATATATAATTAATTTTAATTAAAATTTAATTTTTAAATTAATATTAAAATTAATCTTTTATTTCGTGTTATTAATTAATAATAATATAATTTAAATTATTATTTATAATAATATAATTTAAATTATTATTTATAATAATATAATAAAAAATATTATATTATAAAAAAATATATTAATAAAATATATGTTACTTATAAAATAAAAAATATAAAATTATTATATATAAAATAATTAAATAATTAAACTCGTTATATAAAAATTTAAAATATAATTATAAAATAAATATATATATAACATAATATTAAATTTTATATTATAATATATTTAAAATATAAAAAAATATTTAATTAATATAATAATATATTATAACCTAATTAATAATAAAAGTTTTATAAAATTTCATAATTTAATTTTAAAATTTTAAAATATATTTATAAATATAAATTTTATAAAAATATTAAAAAAAGAAATATTACGTTTAAATTTAAAACTTAAATAAAAGAACATAATTTTTAAAAAATGTAAATTATATTTAATAACTTTAAAAAATTAAAATGTTATTAATAATATAATTATAAAACTTTTAAATTAAAATTATATAAACCGTATATAAATATTAATTTTTTTTTTAATGTTTATTTTTATTATTTATAAAAATATTTTAAAATATTTATTAATAATATATTTATAACCGGATATTATTATAATAAAATTAAATAAAATAAAAAAAAAATATATATAATAATAAATATAAAAGTTTTAAATATAATAAACCTTAATAATAAATACCTTATAAAATCTTAAAATAATATATTAAAAAAAATAAAAGATAAAAAATATATAATAATTTATAATTATTTAACCTTTTATTATTAATAAGAAATTTACTTATTTTTTTATTAAACATTTATAATAATTATAATAAAAAGTTAATACACATTTAATTATTTAATTATAAAATATAAAAATAATATAATATATATATAATAAAAAATAAATATAACTTTTAAATTAATTAATAATATAAATTATTATTATAATAATATAATAATAACATTTAAAATTATTAAAAAATATATATTAAATTTAAAAATTATTTTTATAATTTTTTAAAATATAAACATTTTTATTAATCCTTTTAAATTTTTTATCGCTTTTTTTAATATTATATTATTAAAAAAATTCGTTAATTTATTTAATTTATTAATTATTAAAAAAAAATTTATAATAATAAAATATATTTAATTTTTAAAATTTTTAAAAAATTTTAAAACATTTATTAAATTAATTAAATATATATAATTATTTATACTTAAATTTATTAAATTAATTATACCATTAAAACGTTATAAAATAATATTATATTAATAAAACCTTCGTTATATTAAAATTAAGTAAAAATAAAAAATATAAATAAAAAACATAAATATTATAACATTATTTAAAACCAAATTAATATTATTTAAAATAATAAAAAATACATTAATTAAATATATAATATTAATATATTATAACATAAATAAATTATTATATATTAATATTAATATTTTAAAATATAATATTAAAGTTTATATTTATTATATTTATTTTAATATATTATTAAAAATTTTAAAAAATAAAAAAATTATAAAATATACCCCGAAAATTATTATTTAACCCATCGCATTTTTATTTAAAACTTTTTTAATTTTTAAGAAAAAATATTAATTAATAAAAATAAAAATATTTAATTTAATTTAAACACTTAAAAAAATAAAAATATAAATATTTATAACTTAAAACGGAATATATATTTTTATAAATTATTAAATAATTTTTAATATATTTTTATATTTTAATTTTATAAACTTTATAATTATAAATAATAAAAATTTATAATTAATATAAATAATAAAATATATCGGAAAATTTAAATTTATAATATTATATAAACCGGGTTATTTACATATAATTTTTAATATATTTTTATAATTATAAACATTTAAAAAAATTAATAATAATATTAAATTAAATAATTTAAATATATTATTTTATAATTTAAATAATCATTAAATATAATTAATAATAATTATAAAAAATAACCATATAAAATTAAATTTATAAATAAATTATAAAATTACATTATTAATAATTAAATTTATAACCATATTAACGATTTAATTTTAAATTTTAAAAATATTAAAAAACATAAAATTTATAAAAATAAACTTAAAATTTTAAATTAAAATATAAATAAAATACTTAAAAAATTTTAAATAAAAAAATATTTTAAATATTATAAAAATTAATTAAAACTTAATACCCGAAAATTAAATATTATTATTATTTTATATATAAAACCGGGTACTTTAAAAAAAATCGGAAATGATAAACAAGTTTTATATTTTAAAATTATGTTTTTTAAAAATTTTCGAAATGATTTATAATTTTAACTATTACGAATTTATAAAATTAAAATTATAATTAATAAGTTTCGTCGTAAATTAAAACAAATTTAAAAAATATATAAATTCATGTTTTAAATATTTTTTATTTAAAATAAAAATATATAAATTTTATAAAAATATATAATTAATTTTATTATTATTATATTTTTTTTTTATAATAATATTAAATTTAAATTTCAAGTTTCCATAAATTAATAATAAATATAACATTATAAATATAATAATAAATAAATTCGTAAAAATAATAATAATTATTATAAAAAAATATAATTAAATAATAAAAAATTAAATAAACATATATTATAATTAAATGTTATTAAATAATTAAAATCCCTTTAAAATTATTATAATAAATAAAAACCTTAAATAATTATTTAAATTTTAATTAATATTTTAAAAAAAATAAAATATAAAATTATTTTTTATAACCGTATATTATTTATAAATTAATAAATAATTTAAAAAATTTATTTTATATTTAAAATTAATATTATAATATTATTTTTATAACTTAATTAATAATTTAAAATAAAAATAATATTTATTAAAATTATTATATAAATTTAATATAATAAAATTATCGGTAATAAAAAAATTTTTATTAAAAATTTTATATAATTATACGTTTAATTTTTTATTTAATATTAATATAATAATATTAATAAATAAAATTAATATATATAATATTATAATTATAATAATAATAATTTCGAAAAAATATTTTAACGTAATTTATAAATTTATATTTTTTAAAATTAAATAAAAAATAATATTATAATTATATAAAAATTATAATATATTAATAATAATAATTTTAAAAAAAAAACTTAAATAATAATATATTAAACTTTTCCAAATTATTAAACGTATTAATTATTTCGTTTATAAGTTTAATTTTTTTAATTATTAAAAAATATACGATACGGTTTTTATTAATTATTTAAAACCCGCGTTTTTTATAAATATTTTTAATCGTAATTTACCGTATTTTAAATAAATAACGTTTAAAATTTATTAACGAAAAATTATTAATTATAATTTAATATAATAACGTTATTTTATTAAATATAAAAAATTAAATAATAAATATATTAAATAAATTAAAAAAAAAAACTTAAATAATAATAAAAATAAAATAATCGTAAATTTTAATATAAAAAAAAATTAATTATAATAATTATATTAAACTTATAAAAATATAAACTTTTTTATAAATAATATTATTATATAATATTATATTTTAATATATATATTTTAATATATTATTAATATTAAATAACGTTTTATTAAATCTTAAATAATCTTAAAACCTAAAAAAAGCATCATTAATCCACATATACCATACCATATAACACTTGACCAAACAACCAGGGTATCTCTTATCGATCAAGATTAGTGTCCACTAAATTTTCTTATCGCCCCTTTATTGTACTTTTCTACCATAACCTTGGAACTTCGATCTTTTTTTTCGTCTTTCGCATTTTACTTCACTATTCGCTACCCTACCTATTTCCAAAGGTAGAGACGCTCTCGTCGCAACCATTATCGCCATGAAAGTCACTAATCAAGGCGATGTGTCCGTGTACACAATAGCCGGCGCTAACACTGCGCGTCCTCTTCCAGACTGGTAAGCCAACCTACACTTTTCTCGATCAGGAAGGATAATTAATCGGATATATATGCAGGTTGGCGCGTCGCCGAAAACGTAGTCTAAAATCGGATCCCGAGTATCAGAACCGAATAGAGCTACTTCAAGACTTTGAATTTGAGGAAGCTAGCCAATGCATCAGAGTCTCAGAAGACAATGACTGGATTATGTCAACTGGAACATGTGCGTTGCCATACTACTTAACAACGGCCCTAACCCTCTCGTCTCACTGAAGGGGGATATTGAGGGAGGTAGAAGGGGTTACTAATATCTAGTAGACAAGCCACAGTTCCATGTCCATTATCTTCCTCACCTCGCATTATCCTATTCAAGACATACGAAATCTCTCAATACGACCTTCCTTCTCCTCTCGACCGACTACTCCAAGTCTCTACACCTACAAAGCGATAGAAAACTTGAATTCCACGTAAGATCCGATTTATAACATGGGATATTGCTTCCAATTTTAGTGCCCGACGCTAATCAACGAATGATAGACCCCGGCTGGTTGCCACTATGAACTACGTCTGCCTAGGTACGGAAGAGATCTGGTCTATGATCGCCATGCTACTGAAGCCTTAGTTCCCTCGGTGGGTTTGGATTCTGATGGTAACGGAGAAGTGTTTCGGATGAATCTTGAAATCGGGAGGTTCATGAAATCATATCAAGTCGACGTTGGTACCGACGACGGCGTTGAAACTGGACTGCAGGGAAGCATTGGTGTTGGAAGTGTTAATACCGCGGCAGTTGCTGAAAACAGCCACAATTTACTTGCTTTTGGTACTTCGATCGGCTCAGTCGAATTCTGGGACTCACGATCCAAGTCACGGGTTGCTATTCTTGGGGGCCAGGATGGTGAAATAACCGCCCTTGATTTTAACCCTTCAGGTCTTTCGCTAGCAACCGGCACGTCGAATGGCCTTATCAAACTTTTCGATTTACGAAGCCCCAAGCCACTGTTACAGAAGGATCATGGTCCTGGATTCCCAATTAAGAATCTCATTCACCTGACAACTTCTTCACAAGAAAAGAAGATCTTGTCTGCTGACAAGCAGATGATCAAGATTTGGGACGAGCTTGATGGTGAGACCTGGACCTCGGTCGAGCCATTGGTTGACATAAATTTCGTCACATGGTGCAAGAACACCGGGATGATCCTTACGGCGAACGAAGGCAAACCTCTACACAGTTTCTTCATACCCCAACTAGGGCCTGCGCCGCGGTGGTGCTCGTTCCTCGACAACATGGTCGAGGAGATGGCCGAGGAAATCAGCACCGATCAGTACGACAACTTCAAATTCCTGACATTACCGGAATTGAAATCACTCAGCCTGGCACACTTGATTGGCAAGACCAACTTATTGCGTCCTTACATGCATGGTTATTTTGTCGCTTCGAAGTTGTACGACCAAGCTCGTCTAATCGCCAACCCGTATGCCGTGGAAGAGGAACGTGCGAAGCGCATTAAGGAGAAGGTCGAAAAGGAGCGTGCCAGCCGAATCCGCGGAAATAAGAAGGTCAAGGTTAACCAGAAATTGGTCGACAAACTACTCAAACGCCAAGAGAAGAGAGCCCATGTTGATACAAAGGCTGGAGTACTCGGCGATGAACGATTCAACCGATTGTTCGAAGACGAGGAGTTTAGGATTGATGAGAATAGCCGCGAGTTCCAGGTTCTAAACCCAAGCACGAGAGTTGACCCAGAAACAGGCGCGAAGACTACAACCGCGGGCGCCCAATTCTCAGATGAAAGCGATGAAGATTCGAGTGACGTCGATGACAGCGAGGATGCAATAGCCCTTAAGAAGGATGCGCCAAAGGAGATGGTAATGCGTGTTAGGACGTCCAATCAAAGTGGTGGTCGTGTATCCAAAGACACCTCCCTAGGATCCAGGACCCAAAAGTCGGGCAGGATCAGCAAAGTTCGAAACGGTGAAATAGTTGGAGAGAGACAGGTCACATTCGTCCCAGAGTCGAGAAAGAAAAAGATAGATGACGAGGCTCCTAAGACGCAAACGAAAGATCGACGAACAGACTCAAGACGGAGCGCTAGTACTAATACCTTCAGGCGGCTTTGATACCCAACAAAATGCTAGCGATAATTGATATTGATACATATCCAGAAGGCAATAGGCTTTGCTTCCCCCAACTCCGTGCTCCAATTCCAAGGGAAGCTAGTTAAATGCATTACCCGCCTCGATGACTCTGTTTCCCTTCCTCTTAACTAGCTTTGGCCAGCCCAATGTCAATTCACCAGTCGACTCATTACGATATTTTACTTCCTCGTCCATTTCTTGCTTCTTCCCTCCGGACTCTGTCGAGTACTAGATTGGGCAAGGCCCTTCTCGACATCTTCGGGTCGGAGTCGAGGTGTAGGTGGTACGTCGTCCAACCGAACACGACCTCGAGAGCTATCCTTCACTGATTTCGGGAATTCGGAGCGGCGAGGCGTGAGAGCAGTGACTACCTTCCTTGCCGAACGCCGGATGCTTTCTCTAACCTTCCATTCTCTCTTCTTTGCAAGGTAGAAGAGTACTGCCGTAGAGACTGTGCTATGTCAGTGTGTTGAAACCTTACATTCTGAAGGGAACTTACTGCCAAGCACGCATACGACCGCAACAACAACTATTATAGCGACTATCGCACCATGGGAAATTTGAACAACGCCAGGGCTGCTTCCAGAAGCTCCAGCTGAATTATCGATGCTTCCACCAGAGCTGATCGAGCCAGGGCCGCTATCGCCTTCGCTGTAAGGCTGGTCCGTCGCTAGGGGGAACGAGTTCGAAGAAGTAGAGGTCGCCATAGTGACTCGCACTAGCAAATTTTGAAAATGAATATAAGTGAGATCCAGCACTCTGGTTCAAGGTGGAACGACGTGGGACGACGTGAGGCGACCGCTAAAGTATTCGAGCAAACCTCATCCAGCCATATACAATGGTGTCGAGAGAAGGAAGAAAACCAGGATTGATATCATACCACATGGGGGCTCTTGGTACTTATGAATAAGGTGTTCCTAGCGGGGAAGGAATCTAGTAGAGGCGCTTGGAGATATCGTCCCGTGAAGGCACAGTAGGTAGCTATCCGATGGGTGTGACAAGTCATGCATGATGGGTGCTTGTAAAAAAATCCAAGTAGAGAACACTACGCATGGTGTACCTGGCCCTCCTAGAGGCTTGATGCACATATGGCAGTTGAGACAGCATGGGTCCCGGCATTTTACAACAGTGCTTATTGGGTACCACGAAGCTTCACATTAAAAGAGATGCATTAAGATCTCTTATTTAGATCGCCTCGGTCCGTCATTGGCTGTCGAGGTCTTCGCGGCGCTTAATCAAGGGCGCTTTGCGACTTGACCCCTTGCCGACCTACCAATCAGCGTGTAATAACAAGGGTGTGTAGCAAGGATGCCGCTTTTCTTAACCACCTTGTCACATCTGTCGCCCAAGCTCTCTTCCTTGGACTTTCGTTCTACAATTCGCTGAAGAAAATTTCCGTCACGAAATATTTCCTACATGATAAGTATCGGCGGCCTAGTCAAATAAATATCTTCTTTTCTCTAGCCGTTTTCAGCTAGTTCCATAATTATCGTGATGTTTTGGAGGACGATGATAGACGAATTGTCACTATCTGGTATAAGCCACTCCAGATACCAGTCATTCCGCCAGAATAGCGTCATCATGCCGCGCTTATTCGAGAGCATGATACCTTCTAAGTACAAGCCACCTCCGGATCTAATCGCGGCCCGTCTCATCTACCGCCCCCAGGTATGGTATATAGATTCAGGATATTATTGCGCTAACTTGTCTGAATAAGATGCAAAGACAACGGCTCAAGCATGTTTTAACTATCATTATCTGTGTAGTATCTCCTATTCCATCGACATCTTCGTCTGTTGCTCGCGACGAAGAGCATGGCGTCTCCAGTGTTGGGTATAATCAACCTTTATGTGCCAACCGTCTTCTTGCAGCACTGTTTTGTTCATGCTCGAATTTTTTTAAGATGGATGATCGTGTAGCAGACGCGAATCAAAGATGCGTCGCTATGCAAGTCAGCTATTCGGCCGGAAATCGGGCCTCTTCAATTGGCAATACCCATCCAATCACGAGCATCTTGCAACCGGATTCTAGGCATTCCGATACTGTGCTATCTATAGCAATACCACTTCCGGCGTTGCAGTCGCACTGCAGCCGGAAATGCGAGTGTTGCCGATGTTTGGTTCTAGCGACGAGGAATGGGCATCGTGACCAAAAGAAGCTATAAAATCGTCTCAGTTAGCCGGGCTTCATACAACGTCGCAGGATGAAAATAAACATGGACTTGTTGGTTTTCGATTTAACGCGCTATCGCTTTTTCGCTGATCCTTCTATCGCGTCTAGCCGCTTCCTTCTACGTTCGTACATGGTTGGGCGTCTATGGCCTAGATATTTATGGTTTCTCCTATGCCTGGTTAAAGCACGATTAATATAGGAACACTAATTGCAAGAGCTATAAACGCGAGTCGTCCTCTGAAGTTCAAGTTCACTAGCCAGTTAGGTTAGCGAGGGCACGAGGTGGATTCGAAGTCGTAGTAGACATTTTCACTTGCAGGTACGAAAATTTATACAATTATATATAATATCTTCTAGATACCTAATTCGTCGCTTTGCGAACGTTCGCTATTTCGCGACTTGCATTGATAGTCGTGCCACGTATCGTCAATGTTCAAGCAATTAAGTATTCATTGCGTTTCTATGGTGGAAGATACGCCCTATTCCAAACGCCAACCGTTCTCAAACAGTATCATAGATATGACCACTCTCTGTTCCCGAAACTTGACACGCGTATCTAGTCAGGACGTATAATTATAGCAAGAAATAAAGAAAGCCAGATGTATTTTAAGCGCCCATTCAATAACATCGTACCAATCACTGCGCCAACATAGCTTTGCATACAGGCGAACCCATTCCTCCATACTATGCCAGTGCTAGATAGTGGGAAAATAGGTATCATGAACTAATTCTAGTGTTAAACGAGGGAGCGATAATATCAGAGAATTCACCTTCCTTCTAGACCATCCATGGCTTAGATAGGACGCTTTCTAACCAGTTAACGAAGCACTATGTTGATAGCGAGGATTCTTCTAGGTACCTACCTAGGTAGTCAATATGAGAGTATTTCTATATCAAATGGAATACACTACTTACTGTAGGTTGTTTCGTAGGATTTAGTATGTAGGCGAACAGAATTATAGCAATTCGGCTTAATGATATTACGCTTCTTACACTCACCTACTAATTCTATATATATCCTTCTAGATATTACGCCAAATAGAACGACGTAAGACATACGGTTATTCGATATTGTGCCTTATTTATTTCCGTAGATATATACCTACCATAGGTAGGTACCTAGTTAAGGAGATTGTGAATAGGTACCCGTGGCTGGTCCTGTTCTTAGCATGGCTATTGTTGGCATTTGAAATATTCGCTTAAGGGAATCTGGCGACGAACGAATACCTTAGAAAGAGCACTCGGTGGAGAATGTAACTACTAGATACTAGATTGAAGGCTTCTTATTAATGTTCGACTGCCTATCATGGGTATACGGGTAGTAGGGAGGTAAAGTTAGAAGTGGCAACCCCCTGAATATCCATTGCCACTTCCTCATATTCATAGATGCCCACAATCCACTGTCTTTAGACCTTAATTCAATCCGAAATTCCAATTTCACCTCACTACCTACTTTTCTACGAAGTCCTAATCTCACTCCTTTGAGTGCTGGGCCTATTTGCACCCACTATACCCTGCACTTAGACAATAAAGCTGCGCCTACGGATCGCGCTGATTGCTTCACAAGGTATTGCTCTAAGAGCATTGATCAGTTGATTATACATCGGGCTCTTGCTCATCAGGATGTCGCAAGAAGATCTCTCAGCCGAGGCGCCTCGGCTTGAAGCATCCATCAAACCTCCGGACGTCAATTCTCGCGATATGCCAAGCCAAGCCGAGCTCCTTCAACCATTGAAAGACTCGCAGGACTCCAATTGTATTACATCAGATCGGGATTCGGTGGTTGGACAGTCTTGTACAGGACCCCATTCAATCTCTCCTATGAGTGTGAACCTTTTCACTCGCCCAGCAATTGAGACAGCGAAAGAAATAGGGGCTGGCTTCCAATATCAACCCCCACCAGGACGGATTGTTCCTCAAAAACCCGGCAAAACGCAAAGATTTCCAACTATATCAGCTCCATCGAGTGGAAAAAAATCATCGGAAGAAGGTTCGAGTTCTAGAACTCTAGGGTTTTTTGACCATGGAAATCCGGAGAGGGCTAACTCATCGAATTATCGTGTAGAGGACGTGGGACAACCTGAAGCTGATCCTCCAGCCACTTCTCTAGAAATTGCCACAGCCGAAAGACAAGAAATTACAGAACTTGATACGCAAGCGCCCGCTAACAATGTATCAGATCCAGTTCCTGAGGAGAATGCATCTGATTTCCCTTTCCCAGATGAGAGTCTGGATGCGACTAATCTGCTACATACGGAAGGGAGGAAGCATAGATCCCCATATTCTCCTCTCGCTAGTGCACGTCTCCCGAAATCCTTTTCTGATACTCGTCAAAAAGCTCTTGTGACAATGTCGTCTCGTAATCGGGTGCCACGACGGAAGCCTTCGCTACCGTCATTGACCTCTTCCGAACGTCAAGTAGCGCAAACCCAAAAGACGTCTATCAAAAGAAGCCATTCAGAGAATAAGCAGCGCTCCACTATTCATGGTCCAGCTTTAAATGATGATGAAACCACACAGGAAGGTCATCCCGACGAAGCCGAACGCACTTCGAGAAAGCATCGCTCAGGTGGGCGACAGAAAAGGAAAGATCTCACGCGGCCCGTGCCTTTCGAATCTCCTGAATATGAACCTATGTCAATGACAAGGCCTTGCTCTCAAGCGTCAAACATCTCAAAGCCGCGGGTCCCTCTGAGGACGCACCATCAACAACGCACCCCAACTCGTGAACAAAATAGTCTAAACCTTGCGAAGTTCGCAAAATCATGGAACACGAACTACCTCTATAACCAGAGGCTACTAGATCGTTGGGAACAGAAGATGGTAATGCTGGAGGAACACATCGCGGCACAAGACACGGCTATTCAAAAGTATCAACAAGGCATAGAATCTCGCGACCAGACGATTGACGACTTATCAACCAAAGAAGAGGAACTCCGTGTTCAGAATCAGAAGATTCAGGATGAAATAACTGCGTCCACGAACGCACGCAAGAAGCTGGAGGAAAAGTTGCGAGCTTGTAGAAATCGCTTAAATGATGCGATTAACGAGCAACAGCAACTTTTCTTGCGATGCAAGGAGAATTGCGAGAAGGCAACCGCAAGCATTCAAATAGAGGGGCACATCCAGAAAGAATCCGTAGAGGGAGCGACTGCAGCCGTCGAGGCAGTACGAGCTGAAGTCAAGCGAAAGGTTGCTGCAGTCATTGATGATACCAATGGACAAATTGGAAATTGTGAGCTTTACTGAAACTCTTGTTACAATGTAGGTGCTAACAAGTATTTAGTAAATAAGACCATCAAGTCCCTTGAAACCCAACTGATTGAGCGCGAAAAGGAGCTCGAACGCGAACGACAACACGCTCTAGACCTGAGCAACCAGCTGAGTGAGTTTCACAAACTGAATGAACAATCAATCCAGTTGGTGGCTTCACAGAACCAAGAGTTGCTAGAGAAAATGAAGTTAGATCGCGAGAATAGCGAAACTAGAGATCTCCGGATTCGGAAACAAGACGAGAAGTAAGGAATTATCTCCTTAAAGTAAGGCCTTCGCTAACTAAATAGAATCGATGCCATTATCAAGGGTTTGGAGGAAACAAGACTGAAAACAGCAGATCCGGAAACCTTGGTGGAAAGCTTGGAGGGACTCCATAACGCCGCAGTCAAAAAGTACGTGTTCAAGGGATGTTTGTGAATGCTATACTAACTCGCGAATAGGATTGTCGAGAGAGTAGATAATTCCATGAACTCACATCGAGATTCCATTCTTGCGGACCAGGAGATTCTAAAAGAAAAACTTGGTGAAATCCGCCTCGTATGCCAAGGACTTTGCGAGGGAATGGTAAATGCTAATAACATTGTTGAATGGCAAGGTAGAGCGCACGATGCCGACATGGCTATCTACACTCACATACAGAACATTCAAGAGCTACAGGACGAAATTAATCAGATGTATATCCTTTCGAATGAAGAGTCGGAAGAACGGGAAAGACTCAAGAGTCAATTAACTGATCTTCAAAACGCTGCAACCAACGAACGAGCCGCAAACGAGAAAGCCGATAAGCTTGCTGAAGAAGTTGAGCGGCTTCGAGGAATGATAAACAATAGAGATACAACAATAATTAAGTCTGGTGAGGATCTCGATGCAGCCCGAGAAGAACTGAGAGCACAGGCTCTCATTTTGCAGGGCAAGGAGGAACAGATTCAGAATGAAAATGAGCAGCACCGGAAAGCTATTGAACTGAATGTTCAACAACACAAACAGGCAACTTTTCAGATTGTGTCCACGATAACAAAAGAGTTCGAAGATAAACACCGCGATACTGAGAAGAGACTCCAAGAAGCCGTCACGGCCCGCGCGGAACTCGAACACGAACTGGCCGAGTTGCGGCAGCAAGTAGATAATTCGAGTCAGGTGGATATTGACGAAGGCCTCAACAAAATCCGAGGCGAACTCGTTGAGCTAATCACTTCAATGAACGGGTTGACAAGAGGCCTACAAGAGTCTGAAATCGAGCGGGAGGCTTTGCAAACAAGTCTGGACAAGTGGTCACACGACAGAAACGAGGTTGGCCAAATGAGAAATCTCCTGGGACGATTAGCAAAAGATCAGCCCAATGCGATTAAAATGAGCGAGCAGCTAAGGGAGTTGTTGGAGATACAGAAAAAGTTATCAGGCACTCTCGAGTACCACCAAGCGGGACTAGCTAACGCTGGAATTGCGGTTGGCTCTAGCGAAAGTCAGCGAACCGGGGAGACGTTCATCCATTCAGTAAACGACTCCACGGTGGTGAGCGGCTTGCAGAACGGTGTTGTTAATGCACAGGAGGAGTTACAAAATCTCAAGCGAAAGGTCGTTGTAAAATCCCCAGCTAACGACAACGATCTCGCATCCCCAATGTCGGTCGAAGAAGAAAGGAGCACTAGGCGACACCTACAGCCCGTACGAGGAATCATGAAAATAGCTACTCGTGGTCCTTCCACAGAACAGGAAGTGGAAGGGAATGCACCGACCGTAGATTCCCAGAGACCAATGGCACCTCAGCCGGCCAACCGGAGAATAGCAAAGAGAGGTTCGAAATCCCTTCTCACTACTCATAGCCTATACAACAGGCCTGTCGCAGGATCAATTTCGGGAGTGAGCACCAGACAGGTTGGTGCAAGCCAATCTGATTATAAGGGGTCCAGAGATGACGATACGGATAACATTACACCTGGCGCAGACGACTCTGGGGAAATTGTCGAAGTGGGCGGCAACATCGACGAACCTCCTCTGAAACGACAGCGAATTAATGGAACTCTTGTCGCCCAAAAAGTCAAGGTATCCCACTCCATGTCTACCCAGTTCTCGGCTAAGTCGGACAACTCAAAACCTGCTGAGGAAATATCGTCGAGGCCGAAGACACCGTCATTACGAGGAAGACCCCTTGAAAGAAGACCGTCTGGCCTGTTAACTTATGGTTCGCAGGGTGTCGGAATGAAACGACCACAAAGTAAACCGTCTGATGCTTCTAACGCGATGAACTCAACAGACAGCCAATCGACCATAGCTTCATCGCAAACGATGAAGTCGTCAGACAGCCAAGGTTGAGCGAAGTGGTACAACACCTCTGTTTCGTGAGACCAAGACCGTGACACATGAATTCTTTCTTCCTAATGACGGAGCCTCTCAACGATGCTAAAACGCGGTTATTTTTAGCTTTGCTTCAATCAGCCCAGTTAATTCGCTTCTACTTGCTTCGATGGTGGATAATTCACGGTGAGAAAATCTAACGATGCGCCTTGTCGAAGGACCCTGTCAAATCCATGCTTGCACATGTTTGAGACGTTGGGACAGATGTGGAGATAAAAATATATATAAGAAAAACACGAATTCGAGAAGCTGGTTCATCTTGGCCTTATTGAAGGGTGAGGCGAATGTAGTAATCAAATATTTACTTCCCATGACAGGCGCGGCTTAATGCATCGCGAATATACGCCGGGACCATTGAGGGGTAGACCACGTTAGAGTATAGTACATTGTATATATTTATACAACCATGATGATATCCACGAGGTATTATTCCGGACCGGTCCCTCCACGCATCTAAGTCTTTGTGACAGGTAAGCGATAGCGGTTCCTATAATACTCGAGACTTTTTGGTCATCGTAATGTCGTGAGGTGTCGTAAGAATAGGCGGAGCGCGCGCTCCCACTATTTTATTTTCCGTTTCTGTTCGAGGAAAAGCACCTTTTTCCGGACTATGAAGAACGTACGAGAGTTAGTCAGGTACTTAACGCGTAGAGATTTTCACCCTGCTAGGGATGTCGTCTAAACAAATCGGACTCTTCTATTCCTCGGACGCATACCCCCGGGCCCTCCTATCCCAACGGCTATGATTCACATAGAGTCACGGGCGATCCGCTTCCCGATAGCCTTCCCCCACACCCGGGCAGCGTATTCCTCAACTACGGCGGACAAGCGGAAAAACAAGGGACGTACCGACGGGGTCGTATTTCAGCATGCTCATGGGCCGCGACGCTCGCGGGCGCGAGTAGGTGTAGAAGAAGCCGGTCATGGCCATCGAGATGAGGCGCACGGGGATGAGACGGGACTTGGCTGCACGCGGGATTCAGGAGTTAGCGGGTTCGTTGTGCGTCTTTGGTATGAGCATGGGATTGGAGTGTGAGTTACCCTTCTTCGCCATTGTCTAGATCGGGGGCCGTCAGGGCGGGTGACGGCGGAGGTTTGGGGTCTCGATTGACTTGGGGGATTGACTGAGAAATTCCGAAGTGGGTTTGTTCGTGATGTGATGCGATGCGATGAAGTTTTTGGTGGGGCTCCGGTGTTGTGGCTGATGCTATGCCGAGTTGTGCGGTGGGGAACTGAGTGTCGGGATCTTAAGCCACGTATGGCTCAGTAAGTATGGCTTAAGTAAGCGAGATATTAGCCCCCGCGGCTCGGAAATGTACAGGTAGGATGGAACGTGCACTGCAGTCATATTCTTTGACCATCGTCATCGGGATTTGATGTATACCATGACTCGCCTTCTGCAAGTTCTTAGAGGGCGTTCCTTATAAGTTAACCCGCCATCGGCCTAGAATTTCTAATCGGATGTACTATATATTTCCTTGTTTACTGATATAACAAGCTACATCGCATGGACTTTCTAAGAATGGATAGAGCAAGTGCTCTTCCCCAGGTTGTACCCACCCATCTCGCATCCATCGATCTATGAAGCTAACCAATCATCTACTTCTTATTTGTCTTCACTGTCGCTGCTTGATATAAACATCTCAGTTCATTCATATTCATTTGTTCATCGAAGGGCGCAGTATAACTTCTTAAAGTGGGTTTTGATCATAAGTTACAAGTCTCAGTCGTGACTCATGCTCCGATGAGAACCCCTATAAAAAGGGGCTTGTATTGAAAGAGACGTCGTTGTTGATCTCGAGACTATCAGCACATTCATCGGCTAGATATCTTTGATGAGGACTAGCGTTTTCTCATATTTTATCCAAAGTCATAACCAGACAACCTCACCGGTTGAGAAGGGAATTTCAAATAATTCAAGATGCCTTCCGTCGACCTAGAATATCCCAAGCAACCTTACAGCAAGGTCAACCGATATGACTCACGAGGTAAAGAACTCACAGCTACCTTCCGTAGCAGCTAACTAATAATCCCCCCCCAAGCATCCTACGCCCTGGAGACCATCCACCAGATCGTCAACACGTGCCCCATCCTCCACGTCTCCTTCACAGTCCCCAACTCCCCCTTTCCCACGATCCTGCCCATGATAGGGCAGATGGGCTCGTTCGCGCGCCCCAGCGCCGACACGGGCGACGTGCTGGAGCTGTACCTCCACGGCTACGTGTCCTCGCGCATCATGAACCTCACGCGGAAGGCCGACGGCAACAGTGGCGAGGACAAGAAGGAGGGGGACGAGGAGGGCCTGCCGCTGTGCGTCGCGGCCAGCCACGTAGACGGCTTCGTGCTCTCGCTCACGCCCAACTCGCACAGCTACAACTACCGCTCTGCGGTGCTGTTCGGGCACGCGACGCTCGTCAGCGACCCCGAGGAAAAGGAATACGTCATGCGGCTCATCACCGACGCCGTCGTGCGCGACCGGTACCGGCACACCCGCGTCCCGCCCAACGGCGCCGAGATGCAGAGCACGAGCGTGCTGCGCGTCAAGATCGCGGCCGGGAGCGCGAAGATTCGGTCCGGGCTACCGAAGGACGATAAGGCGGACTTGGAGAACGGGGAGTTGTTGGATAAGGTGTGGACCGGCGTACTGCCGATTCATTATACGATTGGTGAGCCGGTTCCCGGGGAGTATAATAGGGTTGAGGAGGTCCCGGGATATTTGCGGGAGTTTAGGGAGGAGTTTAATCGCGATGCGAGGGAGAGTGCGAGGGAGGCGGCGACGGTGGTTAGGAAGGGGGCTAAGTCGAAGTTTGATGATTGAATATTTGGTGACGTGATGGTTTTGACGTTGACTGGGTAGGTATTTATGGTATCTGGTTGATGATATACAGTCTTCGATAGCAAGCTTATTGCATTATAATTGTAACATTGGCATAGTAGCTTGATTTGTTTCCCGCTCCGAATTTGATGATCAGGGGTACTGGTACTTGACCCCGTCACTCCTTCGAAACATGTTTACCTCTTGCCTGAACCTTTTTGATCTTCGGCTAGGCCGTCGCGAGTACGTCATATATTATACTTTCATTTGTTCTAATATCAATTACTTCTATAAACAGGCAAGTATTCATGAGCATTTCGTGGAATGAATCAAGCTAGACTTGACCTACTTAGACTATGCTGGTATGCCGTGTCAAAACCTAATACAAACGACTGAAGATCTAATCGGCGGCCCATATGGGATCATATCGCATATCTATTAACCACCAAGGCATACGCCGAAGCTTACTATACGTGCTTATCGGCAGACGTATCTAACCTAGACTACCTACTTGACTGGGTATACGATAAGACTTACTTGACTTAGATGTCGCGATCCCCAATGTAACCTTGTTTAGCCAATGGAGAGTGAGCAGTTGTACATGGATAGCAATGAGTTCTTCGATATGTCTTTTCTTGCTCAAGATAATATAAACTTGTGGTCGAAAAAACTATTCACTTGATGCTTATTGATTGTAAGTAGTGAAGTCGTGGCACTCATTAGAGAATGGTTCTTCAACGGCTGATCTAGTTCGATATAATTCTTAATGCTAGAAATTGCCTATCTTTATGCGTCTAAGAGTGGGATTTTAGCACCACCAAATCATGGGCACACCTCCAACACCGGCGGTAGTCGACGAAAAGACACCAAGCTCAACCGACGATGTCTCTCCCGAGCCAACAGATACCACTCTTGCCAGTAACGGCAATGTCATAGACGACGGCCTGCAGCGCGGCCTCAAGAACCGCCACCTAGTCAGTATCCCCTCCACTACCCGGGCACATGAAAGAGCCCCACAAACTTCCGGAATCTAACCTCGAGCCCAGCAAATGATCGCCTTCGGCGGCGTCGTAGGAGCCAGCATCTGGTACGGGACCGGGTCCGCGATCGCGTACAGCGGGCCCGTCGGCGCGTTGATCTGTTTCCTGATCATCGGCGTGGACGTCTTCTTCGTGATGCAGAGCCTCGGGGAGATGACCACGCTCTTCCCGGTGCAGGGCGCCTTCATCGAGCTGGCGGGCCGCTTCGTCGACCCGGCGCTCGCCTTCAGCCTCGGCGTCAACTACTGGTACGCGTGGGTCACCAACATCGCCAACGACTACAACAACATCTCGCTGATCATGGGGCTGTGGACCTCCGCCGTGCCCTCCTACGTCTGGGTCCTGATCTTCTGGGTCGGGTTCCAGTGCACCTCGCTCCTCGGCGTCGTCGTCTACGGCGAGATGGAGTTCTGGCTCGCGTGCTGGAAGCTGTTGTGCGTCGTCGGCGGCTTCCTCGTCGCCATCCTGATCAACACGGGCGCCGTCGGCGGGTCGTACATCGGCTTCCGGTACTGGCGCGACCCGGGCGCGATCGCGAACGGCATCTCCGGCTTCGGCCGCACCTTCGTGCTCGCCGCCGTCTACTACAGCGGCACGGAGATGCTCGCGCTGACCGCGGCCGAGAGCCGCGACCCGGCCCGCGACCTGCCGCGCGCCATCCGCCAGACCTTCTACCGCATCCTCGTCATCTTCCTCGGGCTCGTCTTCTTCGCCGGCATCATCGTGTCTTCCGACGACCCGGGCCTGCTAACCGCGACCAGCAAGTCGGCGCAGTCGCCCTGGAGCATCGCGTTCGCGCACGCGGGCTGGGCCGCGGGAGGCAACCTGGTGAACGTGGTCATGATCACGGCGCAGCTGTCCAGCGTCAACAGCGCGATCTACGTGGCCTCGCGGGCCCTCGCGGCGCTAGCCGCCCGCGGACGCGCCCCGGCGTTCTTCGCGAAGACGACGAAGAACGGGGTCCCGGTCAATGCGATTGTGTTCTCGAACGCGTTGGGACTCTTGTCGCTGTTGAACATCGCGGCGACGCCGGGGAAGGTGTTCACATATCTGATTACGATTTCCGGCGATGCGACGTTCATCGCGTGGGCGATGATCGGGGTCACGCATATACGCCTGCGCCGGGCGTGGGTACGCCAAGGACGCGGGATAGAGGAGTTGCCGTATAAGGCCTTCCTGTACCCATACGGCGCGTGGTTTGTGGTGGCGCTCAATGTCTTCTTGGTTTTCATTTCCGGGTATGAGGTTTTCGTAGACGGCTTTCACGCGGTGGACTTCGTCTTCTCGTATGTCGTGATCGCGATTTTTGTAGTCTTGTCTATCGGCTGGAAGATGGCGAAGGGGACGAAGATTATAGGAGCCGCTGAGGCTGACCTCGTTACTGGTAGACGAGAGTATTTGACGGGGGAAGCTCAAGGTGGCCCCTCGGAAAAGACTAGTATCCCATGGTATATTATAGTTAAACGGTTTCTCTTTGGCTAAGACAGGATGGGTGGGATGCCTGGTATTAGGAGAGGCTGAATAGAAAATCAACGAGGCCATGTTGAATATGAAAATAGACGATACGGCCAATAGTGGTGATAAATAGGCATTCATATTTAATTGGGTATCATTATGCGAGTTGAACTGACGCCAAAGTGTGGGTATCTAGAACGCTCATTGCGATATAAACTTGTTTGGGTTGCTGGGTATAAGTCTCCTTAACACCTCGATCTGACGGGCCTGTGCCTTGTTTTTCAGCTCCGATACGCCACGCTTGTCGATTCGTCTGGTTCCGTTTGAATAGATTACAGTGAAGTCCGGAATTACCTCGAAGGGCTGTACTACGCTCTGTGGAGTTAAAGTACAATGCTTTTTCATAGTTAATATCAGGGTTTCGACATCAGGAGATATGGTGGACAGACCTTTCCAAGTTTTGCACCTTTTCCGATTTTACATCCTACACCGATCAGACATCCGTCGCCAATCTGTGTGCCTCCAGACTCGAGCACAGCGCCAACCTCTATCGTAGCATAGTCGCCAATAAATACGCCATCACGAGTTTCACTTGGTCTTGGGTCTGCAGATAATTGCCCAATACTTGTCCGTTCATGGACGATGCATCTCCGACCAATGGTTATTCGTCCATTGGAGGAATCTAGCTTCGCCCGAGGATGGACGACGGACTCGGAGCTAATGTTGATCGTGTGGTTACCGGTCAGAAGCGCCGAGTCAGCTATTATTATGGATTGGGAGAAATTGACTGGTGCCTTAGGACCAGAATGGACGCGTGGGACAATAGATTGACGTTTAGATGATGACATTTTGCTCCTATGTTTAAGTGGGGAAGAGTATCGACGACAAGGATGTCGATGGACTCGAGCAATTGTTTGTTTGAACTGTGAATTGGCATCAAATAATTAAAGTACATGTCATATTCCTTATCAGCTTTATCAGTCTTATCATTCTTATCGATGACGATCTATGCATTAAATAGAGCATCTAATATGTGCTTAAGCATATCTTTAAATATGGGTATTCGTGGACGAATGGACGATTAGAATGACCTCATTATTCAGCTACTAGCCACAGTCGAAGGTGGTTCAAGCTTCGATCGCCACAAAATCAGACCCACTGTGGAGGTTGAGCCAATCATGAGGCTGTCATTTCTATTCAAAGGCCTCACCTTTTCAACGACAAAACCTACTAAATAATTCCCGTCGCCTTCCGGACTCTCCACTCCCTATGCTCAATTGAGCGCCCGAATACCTTCAACATGCTGTCAAGGACCACTGCGCCGTCGGCAGCCTCTGCGAAGGCGTTGTCGCGAGTCGCGCTGCCGGCCTGCTCCAGAATACCACAAACCTCCGCATCCCAACAGAGCCGATCTTTCGCGACCGTCCAAGAGGGCACCCCGAAGCGCACCTATGGCGGCCTAAAGGACCAAGATCGCATATTTCAAAATCTGTACGGCCGATTCCCCGCCGATTTAAAGTCTGCTAAGAAGATGGGAGATTGGCACAAGACGAAGGAGATAATTCTGAAGGGCCATGATTGGATTATCGGCGAGATTAAAGCATCCGGATTGAGAGGCAGAGGAGGAGCCGGTTTTCCTTCTGGCCTGAAATGGGTATGTCTAATGTTGCGGGTCTAGCAAACTTAGCTAGCAATTCGTCACTGACGAACGATACAGTCGTTCATGAACTTCAAAGACTGGGACAAGGATACGAAGCCCCGATACCTTGTCGTCAACGCCGACGAAGGCGAACCCGGCACATGCAAAGACCGAGAAATCATGCGAAAGGACCCCCACAAACTTATCGAAGGATGTCTAGTCGCTGGCCGAGCCATGAACGCCACCGCCGCATATATCTATATCCGTGGCGAGTTTATCTACGAAGCCGCCGTTTTACAGAAGGCTATCAACGAAGCCTACGCTGATGGATTAATCGGCAAGAATGCCTGCGGTTCCGGCTACGATTTCGATGTATACGTTCACCGTGGCGCTGGTGCATACGTCTGTGGTGAAGAGACTTCATTGATCGAATCTCTAGAGGGTAAGCCCGGAAAGCCCCGTTTAAAGCCTCCGTTCCCGGCCGCTGTCGGTGTGTTCGGATGCCCGTCCACGGTTGCCAATGTGGAGACTGTTGCCGTTGCTCCTACAATCTGCAGAAGAGGTGGTAGCTGGTTCGCCGGCTTCGGCCGAGAACGGAATCAAGGAACCAAACTTTTCTGCATTTCCGGTCACGTCAACAACCCCGCCACCGTCGAGGAGGAAATGAGTATTCCCTTACGGGAACTCATCGAGAAGCACTGTGGTGGTGTGAGGGGTGGCTGGGACAACCTACTCGCTATTATCCCAGGTGGATCATCTACTCCTATTCTCCCCAAGCACGTCTGCGATGACCAATTAATGGACTTCGACGCGCTCAAGGATAGTCAATCCGGTCTCGGTACCGCTGCGGTTATCGTCATGGACAAGAGCGCCGATGTAGTCCGAGCCATCGCCCGGTTAAGTCATTTCTACCGACACGAGTCTTGCGGACAATGTACGCCGTGCCGAGAGGGTAGCAAGTGGACGGAGCAGATCATGAGCCGGTTTGAGAAGGGAATGGGCCGTGAGCGAGAAATTGATATGTTGCAGGAGTTAACGAAACAGGTCGAAGGCCACACCATCTGTGGTAAGTGATCACCCTTTATTATCACCATCATCACAATAGAAAGAATACTAATACTTCATAGCTCTTGGTGAGGCTTTTGCATGGCCCATCCAAGGTCTCATCCGTCACTTCAGACCCGAATTAGAGGCGAGGATGGCGAAGTATAGGGCTGAAAATGGGGGCCCGGCTCTAGCTGGTGGATGGCATCCTAACACCCGAGCAGAGGGTAAGTTGGTTGCTCCCGGTCAATAGACTTGAGTGGATTGCCTATTATATTACATGGCTAGAAGGCGTAATTCCAAGGGTGAAAAGAATTACTCTGTACACCACACAATATTTATTACCTTGTACATATCCATGCGGAGACAGCACTTGATTCCAGAAACGCTTTCGAGATTATGACGTCTAGTGATTCTGAGGGTGAAGTTATATCACGAGTATCCTTTTTGCAGATGACAATCATCCCACACACATAACGCCTATATGACTCTATCTTATACCCAACCCCTCGTGGTCTCATTCCCAAGCCTTATTCCCAGCGTTGCATCGCCCATCTACCCAATAAGCACAGGCGAGATGACCAAACTTGGTATTTAAGCCTCCCTGCATAGACAAACACCCAACCATTGACTCAAGCCCGCCGGGGAATCGCCCACGACTCTCCCTCCGCGGCCTTGACCCCGCGGACCTCCCGCGCGCACCGCTCCCACACATCCATGCTCGTCAGGATCGTCGTCACCAGCATCGCCACGCCCACGGTCCCCGGCTCCGCCTTGATCCACCCCACCGCGACGCCCGGCAGCACGACATCTAGCGCGTTCGCGGCCGCCGCGCGCCCCAGCTTGCGGATCGACCGCGAGACCTGGACCGCCCAGTCGCGGGCGGCCTCGTCCCGCTTCGCGGAGGCGCGGCGCAGGTACGCCGCGTGCTCGGCCTCGGTCATTTTGGCCGCGGACAGGCGTTCGTCGACGTCCTCCTTCGACTTCGGGGCTTCGATCTTAGGAGGTGGCGGGTAGTAGGCGATCAGGAGCGGGATCTCGAGGGCATGGTACAGGGCGCCGCAGACGAGGGAGAAGAGCCAGAAGCGCTGGGCCTCGAGGGCGACGAGGCGCTCCTGCGGCGCGGCGAAGACGGTTAGGCCCGGGATTTGCAGGGCGTCGAGTAGAGTGGACGCTTCGAGGAGCAGGTACAGGCCGTTGAAGGTCTTGGCGAAGACGTCGAGCCAGGGGTGCGCTTTGACGAGGAGCCCGCGGTGGGCGCCGGCCCAGGTCGCCGGGGAGGAGAGGCGGGCGGAGAGTTTTTGGGCGGCGTTGAAGGATTCGAGGGACCGGAAGACGCGGAAGAAGCGCCGCGCGAGACCGAGGCGCTGGTTCAAAGCCTTGAGGATGGCGCGGACGGCGGACGAGGAGGGGATTTGCCCCGTGCTGGTGCTGAGCACGTAGAGGAGTAGGTCGAAGGGGATGGAGAAGAAGGAGAGGATTTGCACGATGGATTGGAAGAGCCGGAATGTGCGCTCTAGGCCGACTGTGAGGGGAGTTAGTTGGTGTGTAGGAGTGTGTATGAAGATATTGAGCGTGTATTGATGAAATATGAAGGCAAATGAAGATTCAATGAAAGTAGACTACTATGGTGAGATATGAATTATGAGATATAACAGGATAACATAGTATTATGCGAGCTTGCGCTGATCAGAAGGTCATAGTTATAAGGTGGAAATCATCCTATAACGCCTTTCGAAGCATCTACTTAGGAAGACTCGGTCATATGTAGTTAGAAGGCTGTTGAAGCTGCTCTTAAATATACCAAGAGTCAGAGTACCTATCGGCTGAGCGCCGGACTTCAAAGCCAGGTATGTGCTCGCCTCTAGCTCAGTTCATGTCCAGGACTTCAGCAATGATGTACGTTATTTTTTACATATTGAAATGTGAATTCGCTGATTTTCATGGATAATACATATGTCTGGGGATTTGTAATCATGAGATGTCGGCAATGCGCCAGAGTCCATCATTAAGAAATTAAGGCAATCCAGCTTAAACACCGTCTTATCCAAACGGAGCAAATGGCATCCAGGTGGTTATACTAAGCTCATGTCCATTGACATGATAGCCTATCAATTGAGGCGGCTCTATGAGATGAACTACTTCTCCGGCAGAACCGCTTGGCTCGCCAATTATCACGGAGTTCCGACACCCCACGATGGTGGCTTGATGGCGATGGGGAAAGAGAATTAAACCGTACCTGAGTCGGTTGTGAATTTAATAAACGTCTCGAACGTTTGAGACATCCTGACACTATGATGTTACGACAAGATGAACGATAGATGTTTTGTATAGAAGGATATAATAGAAGTTGAGAATTCTAAACACCTGGATGAATTGACGGAGGGGTTATTATTAGATTGGTCAGATCGCATTATGCGGCAACAGCCGAAGGATTTGCGGGTCCATATCCCCCTTTGCTTTGAAGTTTTAAGACTCCTTGTTATGTAAGATTTGTATCCTTGTTTTAACGGAGCAAATCAAATGTCAGCACTTAGGAAGCTAAACTTCTGCCCTCAAACACTCAGAGCGATGTCCTTCGATTCGTAGGTTGTCAAAAATTGGTGGCATCAAGCACATGAGATATCATAGCTTAAGTATCACTTATCCTCAATGATCATTGAGTCTCCTTGCCCATATATGACCTTTGGTACAGACCCTATCAACACCTCCGAAACAGGTAACAGTTCGTCGATTCCTGATTTGATTCTTCCGGAGTCCACAATGTAGAATCATATGCTCAATACGATCGTGTCCAGCACTGATCGCATCTTCACTCTGGACGATGAAAAGAGTGGCATGTCTCGGCGGAGAGTTTACTAGGGTAGCCTAGAACGAAGGGAGGTAATGCTTATTGGGAAATACAAGGCCTTGAACATATCGAAGGCGGAATTGCAACTCCCTCTCATTCAGCCTTTCCCGTCCGAGTTCCAACCCGGGCGTACAATAGACTCTAGACTATTGGCTGTATTGCCCATACCTAGCTGTGAGGAGATCAAAACTCATGTTGGCCAGTTCCATGCTTTGGGACGCTATAGTGTTTGTAATTATTCGTAACGATCAATATAGCCAGTATTTCGTTACGCTCCAAACACTTTCCTTAAGATGAAATTTGAGAAAAGATGAGGCCATAGTAACGAGACCTCTAAGAGGGTATCAATCCTCCGCGATGAAGGGGAGCTGTTAGAATTATTGGGTTAATATCTGCTATATTGTTGTAATTACGACCTATATTTTAGCAAGGCTATTAGTGTTTTGTCCAAGTCGACATGTCCTTAGGTAGGTAGTCCGGAATTCAACTTAGCGGGAGGGAACTACCTACCTAGGTAGGTATTCATCGGTTTAATAGAGCCTTCTCATTTTAATGATTCATACTTGAAAAAGAGGTTCTCTAGCAAAGTTTAGCTTCTAGAGAGATGCTCTTTTACTTTTTATGATACCATTTTTACTGTCGTCACCCAGATGTCTATATGGGCCTGTAGACCCCTGGACTTCACTATCGATAAGCCCTTCACCTTGATCTTCAATCACAAATCCCTGCACCTCCCCTGGACCCGGTCGACCAATTCATGCAGGCGGTGAGTCAAAATGGCAGCGGCAGAAAGTGGAGTTCTTATCTCGATCCACAATTCTTTTTTTTTTTTCTGCTGCAAGTGAAAAGATGCGATTTCTCTACCCTCCAACCGACTTCGTTTACGAACTGTAACCTGCCTCTTCTCGGGTGAGAGAAACCTCCTACCTTGACCAACTAACCGCGAGGTTATGTCAAGCAATTCGCGCGCCAAACCTCTTTCTACAAATTCTCAACGCCCTCCCGCTTGGCTGTTTACTAATAATTCTACCAACTCATCCGCATCTGCACCATCGAACGACACACAACCTACAATGGCTAAGAAAAGCCAAAAGGCGGTTAAATCAACGACCGCGCGTGCTCCTGCGGCATCATCCTCAACCTCCGCAAGCGGAAACCAGGCCCCGCCGACCCAGCTCATGGATCTCGTCGAATCATTCTTATCTGATCAAGGATTCAACAACGCCCATCGCGAGTTTCAGAAGCACAGAGCGAAGAAGGGCTGGAAGGAACAAGGCACAGGGAAGAACAAGGATAAGGAACATCATTCGCTAGTCAGCGTCTTCCAGACCTGGAAGACTTTTGCTAGTCAGGGCAACACGCCAGTTCTTGTCAAAGATGACCCTCTGCAGAAGATCACCAAAGTTAGCAGTAGCAGCAGCGAGAGCGACAGCAGCGACGACTCAAGCTCCGAGAGCGAAAGCGACAGCGATGACGCCGAAGACGTGGCCATGGCTGATGCACCTGCTGATGAAGAATCTAGTTCCTCTGAGAGCTCTAGTTCATCTGAAAGTGAGAGTGATAGCGAGAGTGAGAGTGAGAGCGATGAAGAGGCAAAGCCTGCCACGAAGGCTGCTGGTACTGTCAAGCCTGGCGCAAACCCACTGAAACGTAAGGCAGAGTCCGACAGCGAAAGTTCCTCTGAATCCGATTCTGACTCAGCAGACTCGGATTCGGAGGACGAACGACCACAGGCCAAGAAGGCCAAGACCAGCGAGAGCTCTGACGAGAGCTCATCGTCGGAGTCTGATTCATCTGACGACGACAGCTCCTCTGATGAAGATGAGGCCAAGCCTAAAGTCGCTAAAGCCCAAGATGACGATTCATCTTCCGGATCCGGTTCTGATTCCGACGGGTCAGACTCCGACTCTGATGAAGAACCAGAGGTGGACTTGAAAGTAGCTGCTGAAGTACCGCTACCCGAATCCGATTCGTCCTCCAGCGAATCTGACTCTGACTCTGATTCAGATGACGAGAAACCGCAGCAACCCGCCAAGGGTTCTGTCATGAACGGTACGGGATCGGATACCTCTGCAACCTTAGATAAGGTATCGCCCGAGTTCGTACCAGCCCCTCTTCCCCCTGACCCGACCCTCAAGGCGAACAACCGGGGCAAGAATGGAACAAAGATTGCCAGGACGCAAAACACGCCCTTCTCTCGTATCCGCCAAGACGTGACGCTTGATCCGAGATTGTCGTCCAATGCCTACGTTTCGCATGGATATGGTGAGAAAGCCCATCAAGACCTAATCATAACCAAGGGCAAGGGCTTCACCAAGGAGAAGAATAAAAAGAAGAGGGGAAGCTATAAGGGTGGTCCTTTGGACATCAACACGAGCCGAAGCATTAAGTTCGATGATTAGAAGCCACGAATCAATGTTAGGGAACTCAAAAGAACCCCTAGGACACTTTACGGAAGCAAGAGCGAAGAAGAGACGAAGGCATCTCGGAGCCTTGACAAGTCGAAAACATCGTAATTCAGCATCAACGAACCCATCCATCGCTTGGGGCAACTGGACGCACTGTGTTGAATTGATTTGCCCAAAACATGCGACTTCAGTCAACCCCTACATTGCGTGTGTGTTGATAATATCCCGCATGTGTGTAGCGACGCTAGCACCTATTCTTTTCCACTCGATACCAATTCATACAACTTCTCGGAAGCCCAGTCGTCGTATTTATATCAAGCACGGCGGCTATTGTGAAAATACCATGCATTAGATTTTGGCGAACCGCGCTTTAAGCGGGCTGGGCCATGTAATGGAAGCCGATATTGCGCGGTAGGGCGAGTAATACCAGCCTGGAACTTTGTGTATGGCTAGTGCAATGGCACGGTTCTTAGTTGCTTTTTTGATAGGATTTCAAAAGACTTCGACAGTTCTGATGTTCTGAATTAGTCTTGATTAGCAAATGAACAATTGCTATTCCACCCCAGATCGCCTCGTATGATCCTACTATGTCTATCAATGTGATATATTGGTCGATTACTAAACAGAATAGGTGAGCTGTCGCGCGGTCATTGGATACCCCTTAAATGGAAATTCTTGTTACACAATCCTTCGTGGTGTTTCAATGGAGAAGTCGATATTGATTAGTAAATACGTAAGAGCCTATCTTGAGAAATAGCCTTCTACAAGGCTGATCAGGACGCCTGTGCCGCCCAGCGGCACCTGCGTGTTCTTCCGCTCACAAATGTGTTGGAGTGGAGCATCCCTCCAATGGCCATACTTATCACATCAGCACTGCCTCTTCCATATCGGCCCTTACGAGCGGTGAGCGTCTTAAATTTCTAGACTCGACCTAAACTATAAGGGATGATCGCTGTGATATGGGACAACCCGGAAGCGAGATCGAAAATAATAGTGTATATGCGTTTGGTTGTGATAATGCATACCAGATTGTAAGACTCTAGGTTGACATACCGGGTCTCCCTAATCATCCTAACCTAGGTGGTTAATCCATTATCTACCTATGGATGGTGACTTCGAGTTGCAGTATTGTCCATGAATAAGCTCGGTAAACTCGGGGTTTAAGACGCCCTAACTCTTAACAGGTGAGATAAGCCAGTATGACTTACAAAGAGAATGAAAGAGGTGTGACCACAAAGAATTTTCATTGACCAAAGAAATGATCTCAAGATCAGTGCATTGCATGTATTCCTTAGCAGTAATTAAGAATCCTAACCTGATGTACTGATTTGAAACGATCCATACATAGCTGATACGGCAGCTTGTCAAGCAGAACATGATTAGATCAGCAATTGACTATCGTGAAGTTGACCGGATATTAGTATGTAATGTGTGTTATTTTACTATAAAACCAATGAGTCCGGTCTAACTCTGCGAATACAACGTTGAATAGCAAAAGGGGTAGTTGGTGACTGTAGTATCGAAGTTGCGGTGTTTAAAAACGCCTTGCATATCGAGGCTGTGATATAAAGTCATGGGAAATCCATAGCATCGCAAGGCTGACTAGAATTCTCAGTTGTGCGTCATAGCTTCAAGAGTCCTGTGATCATGAATGATAGTGTAATCGCCGTAGAAGTTAAGTAAGGGACAGGAGACATGATAATATGGCGATGTCTCAAGTGGCAGCAATGGTAGATGCTCAGAAGGCGGCATAGCCTCTATAACACGTTGATTAGCTTGAGCCTACAATGAACTGGGGATATCCAAGGAGGAGGAAAGACAAGAGAGCGGTAACACCCAAGGTGGGGTCTAGGAAAGCGGAAGGAGTCGAAGATGTTGTCTTTAGATCAATGATCATGGTGGATTGCTTCTTTCTAGAGGATTGCTCAAGGTGATGTTGTCATCAAGCCTCACTAAACCCACAGAACTAAATATCGTGAGCAAACAATATCCTGAAACATCTCGTAAAGCTTCGCTACTGCCATGCCACTATGTTATGACGCTAGAATAGCTCCCCCCGCTATCGCTCGATTCCTTCAGACGAGAAGGTCGGATTTGACCGTTTCAATAGGGGCTTGATTTGAAGCATGATCTTCAATAGTAGTTAAGCGAGAGCAGTAGTCGATATGTGAGGGATAGAGCTGTTGTGGCGAAGCATTACGAGCTGTCAGGAACAAATTTATCAAGTGACAAATACCACATTGAAGCTGCGACGGCGAAGTAGCGTAGAGTAAGTTTGGAGAGCTTGAATTTCCACTTGAGGTCTTCTTTTAGTTGACTAGGACGTGAGTAGCTGTATGATATACCTACATGTAAGAAACACCAAGGAGGCCCCGGTAAGCCTCAATTCACAATTGTGTAAATGATACTGTGGCTTAGCAGTCAGTACAGAAGCTGGTAACAACATGGTATTGTCATAATCTAGAACAAGCGTCTAGAGCGGGCAGATATTTGCAAGCGCGCGGATAAGAATTAGTATTAGCTTCGGACGTAGCTACGAATTAGGCAGATATAGAACGTGAATCCATACGGCAGTCATCCGTACTAGTCATATGGATTCCACGTTACTCACAAGGCCTATCAAGGTGAAGAGATCAACTGATATGCAGGTACTTAGACAAGTAAGGGGAGAAAATGTTTGTCAATGGGTCGTCTAAGACCTCATTATCGGGCTCATATCAAATGATAACTTAAAGTGAGTTGGGCGTCATTTATGATGTATGAGTCGGAGATAATTTGAAAAAAGTGACTTAGAGCATGAGAATAGGTACCTAGGTATGTACCTCTTACATACTCCCCACAGTCAGCCCCTAAGTCAGCCACAACTGAAATCGCTTCTATTTTCTCGGTAATACAGATTGCAAACTAACCTAGATAGTACACAGTCTAGCCCAATTAGGGCTAGAATTCTAGCCTTACAACACACTCGGGAAAAGCACAGCCTTTATGTACAGCCCACCTTAAGTGAATTCCCCACGCGACCGTCATCTTGGGAACTTCTAGTTTCATCCACATTCTAATCAGAGACCGTCCGAATGGGACAGAACTAGCATTTGAAGTTTGATCCAACAGACTCAACGCTATAGAAGGGCCTGACTAGGGTTTATCTACACAAACATTCACTGACCCACGTCTCACTCGCATGTCATAGCCTTTTGCGCATCACGCGCAAACGGAAATGTACTGATGGGTTCTTTTTGCTGCAGTATACTTAAAGACGGCGATGACGACCAGCAGGAGAAGGCTGTAGATGAACCTCCTCGTACACCATTCGGTTTATCTCACCTACGCTACATACTTCACAAAATGACCGGAAATTTGGGTCGCGAAACAGAGCACCACCGCCCCAGCCCTGGGCGCGGGGCTCAGGTCGAACTCGACTTTCAAAATCTCATGATGGTTCATGCCAGCCCGGAAGAGCAAGCCGCGAATGATATTGTACTACAGAAAAGACAAACCGACAACAAGCAGTTCTATGGTGCTGATGGACAACAAAAATCGCATATTGCTACCGATCATTTTACTCGAAATGTACACATAATCGAGCAAACTCAACTATTGAAAGCTGCACGTCATATGCCTAAGGGCGCGCATCTTCACCTACACTTTAACTCTACCCTTCTTCCAAGATTTCTTTTGGATATAGCCAAAGAAATGCCAAACATGTACATATCGAGTCCTACCCACAAGCTACGGTCTAAATCTGATTTCGATCATTGTGAGATCGTATTCACGCTTCAGGATTACAGGAAAATACAAGGCATGAAGGAGAATCTCTCATGTGAGGACGAAGAACCCCCATGGTATTCGTATAATGAAGATGTACATAAGGTGGACGTGGTGGGCCCCAATCTATTTGAGGAAAACTATGAGCCGCGCGGACTGATGCGCTATGGATATTTCCGCGCTGAATGGGATGCTCAGCGAAAAAGTCGGAAATATATGCGAGATAATGCATCACAATCCGAGAAGCAATCGACAGCGGATGAACTTGAGCTATGGACCATGGATATGGACTGCGATGAATGGCTTATTAGCAAGCTTATTTTTAGTCGACAGGAAATCGACACGATATTTAACCCGCTGGATAAGCCATCAGATCCGACGCTAAAGCCGGAGACAGAAGAAGAGAAAGAAGAGAGACAACGGAAAGCAGAAGAGGCGAAGTGGTCTAAGGATATTGAATTAGACTTCCACAACAGCCCCTATAGAGATGTTCGCCAGAGAGCAACAAGGTATTTTGATCCACGATTTCATTGGCGCCAATTTACTGACAGACCTTTAGAGCATGGGAGAAATTTAATGGCCGCACCAGAATGATGAAAGGCCTATTCAATTATGAAAAGGCATTTAGAGCGTATACTAGAAAATGTCTAGAGGAATTTGTCAAGGAAAATGTCCAGTACGCCGAGATCCGGCCAAATTTTATGAAGAGCAACCAAGTTCTCCGAGACAACGGAGCAGGGAGCTTCAACAACTTTGGTTTGATGGAAATCATTGTCGAAGAGTATGAGAATTTCATGAAAGACATCGGCGACATGGACGAGAATGGGAAAATCAAAGACAATAGGAAGCTCGATCCTCAAGGAAATGCAATTTGTTTGGATAACAGCGAAATTCCTCTTGGTAATGGCCACAAGCCATCCTTGGGAGGGATGAAAGTTATCTACTGCACACCACGATCTTTCGCAAAACCCATGGTGAAGGAAGCATTAGGTGAATGCATACAAATGAAAAAGAGATGGCCGCAATATATTGCCGGTTTCGACCTCGTAGGCGAAGAAGCTTATGACAAGCGGTTCCCGCTGAGATATTTCGAAGAGGAATTCAGACAATTTCAGAAAGACTGTCGAACAGAACAGGTCGAGATCCCTTTCCTGTTCCATTGCGGCGAAACCCCAGATGACATCGAAGGCAATCTTCAATGCGCACTTGACCTTGACGCCAAGCGAATCGGGCATGGATACGCGCTACCCGGAAAGCCAGATATTATGAAGCAAATGAAGGTCAAGAATGTATGTGTCGAGGCGTGCCCAATATCGAATATGGTCCTCGGACTAGTGGAGCATATGGACGAACACCGGATATACGATCTACTTGCCCACGAAGTTCACTGTTCATTGAATAGTGACAACGGCACTTTATTCGAGTGAGTTTTCACATTTTTCCGAATTGAAGCAGTGTGCTAATTTTTACAACTAGGTCTACATTGTCTCACGATTTTTACGAAGTCATGGTTGGAAACCAGAATATGAACCTGTTTGGCTGGCGTCAACTTGCGAAATGGAGCATAGATCATTCTTGCCTAAGCCCAATCGAACGCGAGCGAATTTTGGCAGAATGGGAAAGACGGTGGACAGAAGAGTTTATTCCCGAGCTACTTGGGAAGCCTACTCAACGCCCGACCAGGCTTGACAGGTTGGACGAAATCGAGAAAAATCGACAGATAAGAGTGGCTGAGCACAAAGTGTAAAAACCTACAATAGGTAATGATAGTGCTACGTCATCTGTCAGGCATTCACGAGGCGTTTCTGTTCGTCGGGGCTAGGTGCGGAGACGGGGTATGAAGATTTATGATTTTACGAAGTTACTAGATACCTGATATGATATGGGCGTCGGTGGTAAGTAGTAGAGTCATAGAATACTAACCTATCTACGTCTGGGAGTGTAATGCTCGAGCTGAGTATTCTTGGACCTGGGAGTAGGTACTTAAAAATACACTGTTGTTTTTCTTATTAGATATACCTACCTGCATACGAAAATGACTTGAATCGGTACTAGGCAACCTACCTAGACGACTGAGTGGCTTCGAATTCACTCGTCAACTAATCACAATATTTCCGTAGATTGTTTAATATGCCTTACTTTGTTGTCCACCGAGATGTTGTTTGCACATCACAGATTGCACCTAGGCCGAAACAAAGACTTGCTTCCTGATGTGCAACGTAATGTGGAGGCGATGAGAAGATGCTACCCTCAAACAAAGCAGGCTGAGCAGGATGGTTGTTGCGCAGTGAAGATCTGCGCCGCTCTTGGCCAAATAAGGTAATACTAGTGGATTCGCGTAAGCTATGGTGGGGTTCATCGCCGTCTGTCATGTATCGTGCCAGCGCACTGGGCAGAACTCGGCCGGTTTGCAGTATAATAGCGCGGGCCGTAGCGGCTAATGGCGCGTTGAAGACCCTGTAAAAGATGAAACTTTTGAATCAAAGAACAAATAAAACCCACTAGATCCACTAGGAAAGAGGGCCTCCGATCGATAACCAATCACGAAAAGAGAAAGAAAGCGCGGGTAGGGATACCCCAACTTCAAATATCTTTTTTTCGAGCTACGAACTACAAACCATTCATTTTCCTCTTCAGCTTCTAGAAAAGGTTTCAACGTCTTTGTTTCGAGACTCTTTTTCTTCCCCCTTCATCTTCTCCTTACCATTGCACTTCGACTCAACTTGGCCTCTTTTACTTTGCTTTTTGGATTGAGTTATATATATCTTATTTCAAATGTACTTGTTAAACAATCGAACATGCTATTTCCCTGCCCTTAGAAACTTGGTCGGTTGAACTCAATCGACTCGTTTCTCTTCCATCATTCCACCAACCCAACCCGAGTCTCTTTAGCCCCGAAGTAAACTGCCCTATCCGCATTCTTCCCCCGCCTGTTTCAGACGGGTTCAAACTGGTTCACAGCTACCTCCCTAGTGATCAACTAAGTCGTTCCGAGTGTCTTTGCAAAGAGCACTAGCAATGGCTGACGGTAGATCACCAGTGGCCGTATGGTTCTCTTCTGACCTGGACGACCCTGCTGATCAGGGTCCCTGGGGTTGGCGGCTAGATGTTGTAACTCTACTTGCTGTCATAGGCGAATCGTCTATAGCAGAACATTCACAGACCATCACTGCCAGTATCTTCTGCCTCCTCCCGCGTCTCATCCCTGCCCCTCAAGCTTTCTTGAAACCCTCTCGTCCCGTTCGCCTTCCCGAGACCACTGCAAAGATGACCGGTGTCTATAGTGGCGTCACCCTCGATACTGTAGGCTTCTTTGCGAACATCATTCATCCCCTCGACGAGCTACAGCCATTTGCCTTCAAGGTCCTCGAGATCAAACACACTGATCGGAATAACGCCGGTGGCATGGAAGTCCCGCACACGCTCACGGAGAAGACTAAGTGGTGGTTTAATCGACGACATAGAAGCAACTCTTCCAACCCTGCTCTGGAACTCAGGACCCGACCCACTCTGCCGCGTTTTAACGACTCCCGGTCAGACACACCCGAAGGGAAGAGGTCAGATACTCCAACAAATACACTGTTCAACTCAAGCATCGATGTCGAGGCCGGAGGTCCAAAACAAGGGATCAAAAAAAGACCTACATTCAGAGAAAAGGCTCAAGATTTCGCGGCTAATCCAACACTGGTTAATACTAGCGCAAGGCCTGCAGTCCCGGCAACCTTATATTCGCCTCTCCATATCCTCTCCCTGTTCTCTTGCTTGTTGACATTAGGCATAATTGGATTTGCAGCCTGTTATCAAGACGGCACGGCCATTATCGCTGTGTCACTCGTGTCCTTCGCCAGCTCTATCGTCGGGTGGGCCTCATGGTGGAGACCCATCCTGATGAACCGAAGCCACACCAACAAAGTCCCCGAAGGTGATGTGATCATTCGCACACGCGAAGGTGCCTTTCTTCTTATCAAATGCACAGAAGAGGTTGCGCGAGAACTGTATTCGGGTACTGAAGAATGCGAGTACCACGTTAGCGGACGCGCATACAGAGTGCTCATGGGGCTAGGAACCTGCTTGCTGATGATATCTGTGATCTTGCTAGGTAACTGCAAGTGGTATACCCAGATTTTCATCGGCTGCAGTTACATCGTGTTGAATGGTGTCTATTGGGCTATGGGATTGCTTCCTAAGAAATTATTCTGGGACCTCAGTCGCTATGACGTTAAGGAAATCATTTCAGCGGAAGATCAGGACGACCGCGACTCGAAGTCTGAAGACCCACGTGAGGGCGTAAAAAGTTTCACGCGTACGCTGTGGTTTGCAGTCCGCGAGACTAAGCGTACGGCCTGGGTCCACCGGAGCGGCGCTGCCCCTGACACTCCGCAGTGGCGCAAATGGCTTGCTGAAGCCGAGCAGGCCGCCATAGATGGAAAAATGGACTGGCCTGCGGTCGGACGGAAGGACGACATTATGAAGTTGAGAGACAGCGAACTTAACGGTACCCCCATCAATTCGGACACTCGGCCCCGGGATTACGATGCAGCTGAGCAAGCGGCACCATATATCGAGGTGCAGCCCCAGAACCGGCGTCCTAATGATGGCACTTTGTAGGCGACTTTGCTTATGCATATACTGCTAGTCACGTTTGTTTTAGGAGTCAATTGCGTTGGATACCCATGTGTGAATGAGCGAGTTTGTCTAGGAGACCGACATTCAAGTCGAGGTCTATGGATTTGGTAATGATCCACATGATATGATTATCTTCTCTTTTACTACGGTTTTGGGGGCTGTCTTATCTAGGTTGTTTCATCTATACTGCATATTTGTGTATCCATATATAATCGAATTCTGCATGGTTGGGGGAGCATAACGACATGCGTTCAACGAAATGTCATGTTTTGCATGATACCTCCGGGGATTTCATATACCTACTCTATTTGGAAAAAGGGTTCGAAAATTGCATTTATAGGTGCTATTATTAAGCGAGGAGTTTTGGTGTCGAGGGTGAGCATTGGCTTATCGGGAATGCTGGTGCTCTTGGCTCATGTGTAAAGCGTCAATAGAGTTTTATGAATGGTCGATGATGCCTTTTGAGAGGTGAACTGTTGTACGAGTCTTTTCTATGAGTAGAAGTCGGGCGGATGTCAAGCATCTGCTAGCCTGTATTCGTGTTAGATAGTGCCGGTACAAGCACCTAGACTCCATGTGCCGTAGTACGGTATGACAACTACGTACTGCTACCATATGCTTAGAATTCATATATGAGTTCTCACTGCACGACCATTGCAATGCGAAAAAAAAAAACTAGGCAGTCTGAACATGTAGACCTTGTAGAATGTCATATAAATAGCACGAATGAAATTTGAGTCGTAAAATATCTGATTGATTCTAGATGGCTATCATTTACTTAGCGAACTTCTTGTTAGCCCCTTTATTGGCGAGCAGATCACCCAGATACCTACTGCGTACTAGCCAAATACCACTTGTCCGGTCATAAATTCATATTTGCTGATACAAGTTCATAGATACCTACAGAATTCTAGTTCAATATTGAGCCAAGCTATCTCCCCAGCTAATTGTTATCGCCACCAACTTCGGTATTTTAACACAGCAATTTCAAGTTATCTATTGCCCGTCGATATTATAGGAAATTATTGATCAGAAGAGAAGCTCATAATATAAAAGCTCTAATGTACTAGCTATTTGAAACGCTTCGGACAGTTGTAACCATGTATTCAGCTAAGATATAAGGGTGACTGACAGCTACTAGTTAATGAAAAGACCCGGAGGGATAAACGTGCTTAACCACTTAAGTTTTCAATGATTTCAAGCTTAAACGGGCAATAAACATATGTAATTCATATGAAATACCTAAGTAATATGATACCTAGACATAAGATCCTGAAACATATTAAACCATACGCTACGCTTAGGCACTTAGTGTATGGGTGTATAGACAGGTCAGACTCAAAGTCTGAATCCATTGTGGACTTATGTCTTTAAAGAAGGGATAACTCATGGCTTCTTATATGCTTTTCAGTTCAGTAGAGAATCTCTTATAGTAAGTAATACCTACCTAGGTACTAATTGTGACAATATTCTCACCCACCTATTTAGAAAGTTACTTTATTAGAATATAGAGATGAGGTAGCAAAGATCTCCTCATGATAAGTCGGTGATTATCTAATCATTTATATTAAATTCAATGTTGTCATTCATACAGAGGACGCAGGCCCTAAGTTAATTTGAAGGGAATAAACAGGAAAAGATACATCGCATACTTTAACCTATTTCAAATTAGAATGTCAACACACTAATCATAGACGGGGCCGGTGGCGAGTGGCAAAATCAATCAAATCAACCACATAGCTTTATGTGAAGATTACAGTAAACAAAGGATTTCACTAGCATCAGGGGTTAGTTGATGATCTAAACTTAGTGTCCGCTACCTATCTAATAGCGTACAATATCCCAGCTACTTGGAATCAATGACGTCGTGTCTTGAAGTGTGCTCATCATTAATATCAATGGTGCTAATAAATCTCGTGAGAATTGATGTAAGACGTGTGTTACGCTATCTTCTACCTTCAGAAATTATCAAGCGACGTCGCTTACTTCCAAAGAATCAGAAGACAGATGGATAGCAGTAGCTTCAAAGGGGATATCGAACGGCAGGACGAACATACCATGGCTCAGAACGGACATAAGGTCTCAGGGGGGCGTAAGAAGGTGCTCATTGTGGGCGCCGGCGCTGCCGGGTATGATTCATTTGAGCCCCTATACCTAAAAGTTCATGAGTCTAACACGTTCACTCTAGCATGTCTGCAGCACACCATCTATCACAACACCCTGATAAGTTCGATGTAACGCTCATAGATGCCGTCGACTATTGTGGTGGTCAAGCATTCTCTATTCCACTGGACAAGGAGCGTTACGGAGCATCGTGGTGTAACCAAGGAGTCCAGGGCGGTTCCTATATTTTCCATCACACATTGACCATGTTTCACAGGCAGGGCTTCCACGCGGATCCCGTAAACCTCCAAGTTTCATTCGGGAAAGACGAAATGTTCTGGTCCAACATGTTTCCCACGCGACTGCTGGCTCGTCACGAAAAAGAGGTTCGGCGTCTGCCAACGATGTTGAAGCTGATGCGCTGGTTCGAGATATTCTTCGCCCTGATTCCCCTGAAGATCGTATTCAAATTATTTGGGTTTTCTGAAGAATTCACCAACACCATCGCTCTACCGATGACAGCCCTATTTCTAGGCACCGGAAATGCAACTCCGGACGTTCCGGCCGTCATGTTTGAGCGACTGTGCACCTCGCCGACGTATGGCATGTGGTACACTCCCGATAGGAAGACGTTCATCAATAACAAACCTCCTATGGTCGTGTTTCCCAACTTCTCCGAGTTTTATAATACCTGGAAAGAGGATCTTATCTCGCGTGGCGTGACGGTTCGATTATCCACAGAATTGGTCGAGATCGTTCGACGGGATCGCAGTGGTGTGGTCGTCAGACTTAAAGCACGCACCCCAATGCACGATGGACATAACCCCACCGGCGGCGATCCCGATGCTTCCACTATCGAAGAAATGCATGACGAGATCGTAATGTGCTGTCTAGCGGACACCGCAAGGAACGTGCTCGGTAAGGCGGCAAGCTGGAGCGAGAAGAGAGTACTGGGGTCAGCTAAGTTTAGCGACGACATTACGATCACTCACAACGATTCGGATTACATGAAGAATCATTATGAGAACTTCTATAGGGATGACTTGGCGGTGGCCAAACTTAACGGAGTAGACCAGACCTCGCGTCTAGACTCTTCGAAAAAGAACTTTCGGCCAATGTACTACATCAAGATGTATGGAGAAGACAAGTCGAAGCTAGAGATGTGTTTCGATACGACGAACTACCAGAGCCAGTTTCCCGAAAAGGTACCCTTCGAGAAGCACGTGTTTCAGACGATTTACCTCAACAAAGAGCGCGACAGGAAACTATGGACGGATCACGAAATCAAAGAGGATAAGATTATTCGGAGGGACTGGTGGCATCAACTCTGCCACAGCTACACGCATTACCTGTTCGTGGTGCCGTGGATGATGTTCCTCCAAGCGAAGAACCATACCCGCTACGCGGCGTCGTGGACCTTGGTCAATGCGCACGAGGTCGCGGTCATTTCTGGCATTGCAGCCGCTGTGGACCTCGGGGCAGACTATCCTGAGGACCTCGAGAACGACAGGTTTGCTTTCCTATGCTTTCGACTATATTACCTCCTTGCATATGGGAAGTGGTATAGTAGCAGACGCAGACGCAGACACACTACTACGAAACAAGGGGGGTCCACCACGCAGGCCGCAAAACCAGGGGGTGGCTGGGGCACGGGGCTCTACGGCAGCGTATACGAGGGCCCGGGAGTGACAAAAACGGAGCGGCAGACGTGGAAAGAGGAGCTCAGGAAAGGTGCTAGTCTTGACAACATGGCCGGCGGAAATGCACCTGGGAGGAGCCAACCGTGAAAACGAAGCCCGCTGAACGGGGGTCCGTTCTCAAGCCACACTGTAAACTAGCGTCTCTACTATATTCAAAAGACCATCGTAAAGCCACGAATGCAGCACCGACTGAGTCACCGAGTTCGAAAGTGTGGTTCAGTGAATGCAATAGACCAAATCGGGACACCATGGCCTTAACTGGCACGTAGAACACGAGCCTCACCTTTTCAATGCACCGCCTGACTCCGCCTTAATTTCAGCTGTGGCTAACTGGATTAAACCCTTTTGAGCCTCAACCCTATACTACCGTCTGAGCTATAGAATTTGAGTAAAAACAAAATGAAACCAAAACATGTCTCCAACTAAGCATAAGCAATTTACAGTCTACGCGGCCTTACATGACATTATGTGGATATTGGTCCATGCCATAAACTCGTGTTGTCCGTTGTTTTCTATTGAGAAAAAGCTCGTGTCTAAAGCAACCACTGTGTTCCAGTTATTATAAGGGGGTTTATACTTACCCCCTTTTGGCTAATATAGGGAATCTATATTACCTATATCGGGATCTATCCACATGCCATGTACGGATGTATGTATAAGCAGGAAACCCGTCAGCAGCTGTCAGCCTTTCCCACCCCTGTGGGGCCAAATGTTCGAATAAGAATTGTCAGGTGTCAGCAAAGAGAGCCCGCCGCTAAATTAAGTCCCTCAAGTTTCCATTCTTCATTTGCCGTTTTAAGGGTATTACTGGTATTACTATTAAGGCTAAGCTTACTTACTTACTTAGTAGTTACGGGTCTGACTCATCAAAGGGATCCCGTGGGATCCATGGATCTCTGCTACGCGCATCGCATTGGGCAAGCGGGATCGATATATTTGCCTATAGAACCAGATATCGACCCAACATGGAGCCTCGCCCAGCAGCGACGCTTCCCACAGGCCCGACTGCGTCGCGGCGGCCGCCAGTGATCGTGAGGGAAATCTCGGCGCAGCAGACCTACGCCCTGCGACACGCTGTGCTCTGGCCCGACAAACCTATGTCTTACGTGCAGCTGCCCGACGACGAGGCCGGTCAGCACTTCGGCGCGTTTATCAGCAGCAGTAATGGCAGTAACGGCGAGGTTGGGATCAATCACAGCGTCGACGCCAATAACAACAACAACTACAATAACATCCGTAATCATGACGGCGACCCTACTGACCAGGACAATGCCAACAACGCCAAGGACAATGTCAGTCACAGCAGCACGTGCGGCTCCGGGAACTTAGCAGGAGCAGGCTCTTCCTCAGAAGGAGAAGAACTAATAAGCGTCCTCTCGCTATTCGTCGACCAGCCCAACGGCGCAACCACCACCACAACAAAAGCGCGGTTCCGCAAATTCGCCACCGCGCACCGGTGGCAGGGCAAGGGCGCGGGCACCGCGCTGCTGCGGCGCGCCGTCGACGAAGCCGCGTCGCGGGGCGCCACGAGCCTCTGGTGCGACGCCCGCGCGAGCGCCCTGCCCTTCTACGAGCGCTTCGGCTTTTGGCGCGCTGAGGGTGAAGGCAAGCCCTTTTACAAGGGCGGGGTGGCTTACCTGCGGTTGTCGAGGCGGTTGCCGTGAAGTGGTATTCGTATTTTAGGTATGTAGGTATTCTAGGTACGTATGTATATCCTAGGTACGTACTGGAGGTTTGGTAGGTTGGTTGGCAGGTTGATAGGTATGTAGGTGCCTGTCCAGCCTTACCTAGCCTTACCTGTGATGAAGGGAGGCCGCCGAAACGTTGTTCAGTCTGGGGATTAAGGGTCTTTTTTTTTCTCTCTTTTTTGGTTTGGCGGTTGTGTTGTTGTTGCTGTGTCGTGTTGTGTTGTTCGGGCTCGGTCTGGGCTCGATGGGGTTCGACTGGTCTAAATGTTCTGGATACCTAGTCTTGCAGGGCTATGTGGTCTGTGTCCTTAAGGCGGGTTGGGTCTGGTCTGGCCGTTGTTTAGGGTATTGTGGTGTATTAGGGTTAAGACCGGGGGTGGTTTTATGGAAGAGGGATTTCCGCCTCCGTCAAAATCGGGCGAAGGAGTGGAAATAGACGCGCTTCGCACCCAAGACTCACGAGACCACCGTACGACCAATGGCCCGCGCTTGTATATATAGGGAGCCGGTGATTGGGGGCCGCTGGAAGCAGCTCCGCCGCGGACAGCGCGTGTCCTGTCGTTCGAAACAGGCGATCCCCCGCGTTTCCCGTCGGGGGGCTGCGGGCGGCAGACGGCACATACATACCTACCTGTACATATCTACACTAGGCGGATGCATAGAGAGGCGCATACATTGGATCTCTTTTACTGGAATAAGAAAAAGAAAAACCTGGGTCCCCTTACCCTTACCTGATTAAACCCGAGTTCCCGCTAACGAAGTCAGGGATGGTGGGCCTCGAACGACCGTCCAGCCGGCCTTTCTCGTCCCTGATTTCGTGCTTGGGTTAAAAATGAAAACGCCGATGACGTATCAATCAGAAAAGAGTCCCTTTGGGATTTATCATCGCTGACGGGCCCCGGCACAGCAGCGCGGTAAACCATTCTAGCATTTTCCGCATTGCGTGCCCTTTGGAGCCCAAGGTGATACAGTCCCTCGCGAATAAAGGGGGGGCTGGTAAAATACAGGAAGTACAGCACGAGTACTCGATGTACCGTGGGTATACACAGAGGTAGACCGAATGTAGACCACATGAATATAGATCACGTGCAGCAGCCAGAAGATGTTTTGGTCGTCAAGCATGTGCGGTATGTATGGCTTTGTATGGTAGGTGAACGGTATTGGCTTAGGTTAGCATGAATTTACTTAGCACATGGACGCTACTGCGATGCAAGCTGATGTGTATTCTTACTTGAAAGCTTTAAGAGTCGACGATTCAACGATTCAACGATTCAACTATAAGGCACAGTGCAGAGGTGGAGGATGGGGATGCCCTCTCTATGGCATAGACGGCGATTCATCAACTACGGTATGAACTAGTATGAACTGGTGTCATTTCCACCCTTTCCCACTCGCTCCACTTACGCACTGTTTTATGCAGCGCGTTCTGGTATTACCTATCGGAACAATGTTTATGAGAAAATCATAAGGAAAGTTGAATCGAATAATGCATGCAAGCAAGTATTGCACATTGCACATTGCACCAAGAATCTGGTTCTCGAGAGTTATGCTGCTGCTGTCAGTGCTTGTCTGGGCAATCGATGAATCGATAGACAATCGGTGATAGACACCGAGATCTCGATGCGGTCGTCCATCACCCATCACTTGATATCGGCCGGCGATATATGACCTACCTAAATAGTATAGTCACTTGTGAGACATTTTGAATCCTCCAAAAACTTGGTGTCGACCGTTTGATCAAATGATTGTCTCACATTATCGACAATCGTCGGCGGACCCTTCGAAAACCCCCCAAAACGATACACAATCATCGTTCTTCTTCATTAATTAATTAATTCGTGACCAAACCAATGAATAAGTCGAAGCACAGTGTAGATTTCATAAGCCATCATAAGTATCATAAGTTTATCCAAGTGTAGTAAGGATGGGCGCGACGAACACGAGCCGTCACCGTAGGCATCTATCGGCGTCGTTAATCGCTCTGCTAGAGGAACGGTCGCCCTGCCAGTGGGAAAATTTCAATCGGACTATCACGACTATCAGGGGCGCTGGGATGGACGATCCCCCCCATTGTCCACTGGAAGAGCCGAGATGCCAAGTTAGTCCGCCATGGTCTGCCTTGGTCTGCTCTGGTCTGCCTAAGTTTGACAACACAATTGACGACTCAATAAGGGCGAGACGGTTATGACGGGGTTCTTGGCTTCGTCGGGGGGCGTGTAGCACTGAAAATAACCTCGAAACAGATTGAGAAAGTGGCTCGACTGCTTCCGTCGGACAACGGTTGGCTTATGAGGGATGCAGAAGTGTCCAATCCTATATAAATCAATGTAAGTCAATGTAAGTCTAGCCCTTGTGCGACGGTCCGGAGAATGTTAGACGGGCTCGGACTGGCTCTCCTTCGCTCGCTAAGGCATCGCATAGCCCTCCGGGGGGTGCAGACGCGCGAGGGTAATATTGGGAATAATGAAAAATTGTAGGGCAGAGGAGACCTAAACGACGTCATTAGCCAACGAAGAATTGCGTACGAATGTTTCCGAAAACTGTGATGGCCAAGGAGATAGGTCAGTAATTTTATGAAATTCTTGTGATTCTAGTGCCTCTTGTGACTTGGCAAATGGTGGCAAATATAGGGGGTGGGGTGGGTATGGGGTTGGCATCCATTCGCATCCATTAGCATGATGGATCCGTAGTGGCCACCAGTAGCCTCCGTCGTCACCTAGCCTCCGACCAATCATCTTATACGAAATGCATGCGTGCCCAACGTCGCAAATAAGTCGCAGTAGTAAGTTGGGCAGTCGAGCATCTGATCCAGCCTCCGTGCTCACCAGGTACAACTTTGTAGGCAGGTGGTAGACCTCTTGTACGCTTGTTCTGGCTTGTACTCTTTGTACGCCTCCTACGCTATCATGGCCCCTACAGTGTTACTTTTTTTCTTCCAATTTTTCCACCGGGGCCCGTTGGGCATACGTTCCCTAAACTAATTGGGCGCCTCGCGGTGAGTCAGGTAGGTACAGCACTTCCCTTGCAGGCAGACCCGGGGATGGTATCCTGGTAAGCACGCGGGTTGCGCAGTCTAGTACATATTGTATATGCGGCTTTCCAACAGCAGCTAGATGATTCTGTCATCACACCTACCGTGTCATGAAATATCCAATTTATTATTCAAGTACCCGTCAGCCTTCCCTTTGTGGTGTCTCCTGATCCTCACTTAGGAAAAGTCGACAACCAGTGTACCGTTTGCCTCACCTTGTCTCATAAAGAGCCCAGACAACAAAAACCAACCCCATCCCAACGAAATGATCCATCACCACACCACTTCTTCAATTCAAGAAATTGTACCAATATCACTAAGCCGGGCACTCTTCTCAACAGCACTAACTTACCAATTCCACCCAGAGTACGACAAAGTACGCTGAAAGATCTGAATATTTTGAAAAGTTTGAACGAGGAAGAATGAGCATCGACGTTAGAGCAAGCCGTCCCGCCGAACGGCCCTTCATGCCGGGCGGGTTCCCATCATTTGTAGAACGGCCCCGGGAAGCATCACGACCCCGGGAATTGTCACGGCCTCGGGAACCCTCGCGGACCCCCACTTCAAGAGAATCCGAAGCAGAGACATCACCTAGCCGGATAACAACATCATCATCACAAACCCCAGCACCTCTCAGAGGTATACTGAAGAACGCAAACACACCCACACATACACCCACAGCCCTAACTCCCACGCGGCCGCAAGACCCGCTGGCCGCACGCTTCAACCGAGGCAGACATGAGCAACAAGTGCAGATGTACCAAGTTGCGCCTCAGTCGCCGACATATCCATCGGACAGCGACATATACAGTACCTTCGACACCGACACTCAGTCCGTAACAGACTCGGACCTGTCAATTAATACTCAAGCCACCAGCGTTATATCAGAGTCAGACGCACCACCGAAGCCGACGAAGCCTTCAACACAAGTGAAGCATGTCCGTCACGTGCCACCAGCAAGAAGCGTAAGGACACGGCCACGGACCCGGTCGACGTCGTCTGAGGTAACCAAGCCTCCTGTTCCGGAGAAGAAGAGGACTGTCCACATCCAATTCGTCCCCTCAACAACACAATCCTCCTCCTCCCAGTCCCAGACCCAGTCCCAAGCCCCCTCCCAATCCCAAGCACTTCAGCTCGCTCGGAGATCAGACAAGGATCTCCAGCACAAGATTGATCAGTTAGAGTTAGAAACTGACACTCTCCGAAAAGAAGGCAGTAGGTTGAGGAGGGAAGTAGACGATGCCTCCGTCCAATTGTCTACCCGGGGTCAGGAGAACAAGGAGATTATCCGGATACTCAACCTGGAGCGGAACTCCAAGGAGCTCATCCTCAGAGATCTCGAGGAGCAACGGCAGATCTCCGACGAGTTCAGAAGCAACTATCAATTGCAGCAAGGGATGCTAATTGACCTAGAGAGGGAACGGGACAGCCTCCGAAACGCCAGTGAGAGATTCGAGAAGGAGCTCAACAGACTTCGGCGAGAGTTGGAGGACCGAGATATCGCTCAGAGGGAGCAGGAGGACGCACTCAGGCATGATATCGACAACCTTGAGTCTGCTACAGTGAACTTCGAGAAGCAGATTGGTTCTCGCAACAGGGAGATCAAGGATCTCAACAAGGAGCTCAGGGACCTGGACCACGAAGTCAAGGAGTTGACGCACGAGAGAGACAGCGCTCGAGCAGAGTCCGTTCACTTCCAAGCTAGAGTCCGGAACCTTGAGTTAGCACAAGCAAGCAACGTTCCATTGGTGGAAGAAGTCGAGGCACTCGAGAAGGAGAAGGAGAAGCTTCAAGGCCACATCGAGGATCTTGAAAGCGACAAGGCTGCTCTCGAGGAGAAAGTCAAGAACTTCGAGCAAGAGATCGCATCCCTCAAGACACAAGTCGCCGCGATCGAGTCCAACAAGCAAACGCTCGAAAAGGACATCGAGACCCAGAGGGCCGGCAAGGAGGAGGTCCAGAAGCAACTCGAGGCGGCACAGTCCGAGAAGACCGAGCTCCAGGGCCAGCTAGATGCTGCCAAGACCGCCAAAGATGGTCTTGAGAAGCAACTCGAGGAGACCAAGGATGATCTTCAGAAGCAGCTCGACAGCACCAAGAACGACTTGGAACAACAGCTCGAAGCGACCAAGAGCGACCTGGGCAAGCAGCTCGAGACCTCCAAGCAGGAGCGCGACCAAGACACGCTCAACTTCAAGGACATTCTCGACGACAAGCAGTCCAAGATCGACGGTCTCATGACCGAGGTAGCAGGCGCCAAAGACGCCAACGTAGCCCTCGCCTCCGAGAGCTTAGCCCTTCGCACCGAACTCACAAGCGTGCAAGCCAACCTCGTCAATGTCGAGACCGAGCTCGGCCAAGCGCGGGAGCAGAACAAGAGTCTCGAGACGGAGAAAGGAGAGCTAACGACGCGGGCTGCTGACCTCGCAAAGCTAGAGGCAGACCTCGAAGCCCTACGCCTAGAACACGCGGGCTGCGCCGAGAAGTCCGCAGGCCTCGAGGCCGACGTGTCGAAGCATGTCGAAGCCGCGAAGGCACTGCAGGAAGACAAGGACAAGCTTGCAGCCAGCGTCAAGGACCTCGAAGGCGGGTCGGCCTTCACAAAGCTCGTGGAGGACAAGGTCACCCTCGAAGGCAGCGTCAAGGATCTCTCAGCCCAAGTCTCCACTTTATCTCAAGAGAAGTCCGAGCTTGAGGCTAAGACCAGCGACCTGGAAGCTGAAGCGGCCAAGGTTGGACCGCTGACGCAAGCGAAGGCGGAGCTGGAAGCCGGGCTCGAGGCCAAGACGAAGGACCTCGAGGCGGAGAGCGACAAGGTAGCGGCACTGAAGCAGGAGAAGAACGGGCTCGAGGGCCGGATCGACGAGCTGCAGACCGAGGCCGACAAGGTGCCCGGGCTGACGTCGCAGGTTCAGTCGCTGATGTCGCAGTTGGCCAAGGTGACGGTCGAGCTCACCGAGGCGAACGCCGGCCGCGCGCTGAGCGACACCATGATCATGGACCTCAGGGAGCAGGTCGCGAAGCTCCAAGACAAGGCCAAGTCGCGGAGCAACTCGCGGGCCGCGAAGCGCCAGAGCAGATCCCCGTCCAGCAGCTTTGTCTTCGTCAGAGCAAGCAAGGACAAGGATGCCTGCTACATTACGACACGCGATGGCTTGAAGGGTCGGGATCGGTCGCCGTCGTAAACTTGTGCGATATCGAGGCTCGAATCGAGTCGGGGGAGTGGTGAGAGGAGGTAATGCATACCTAATGGAAGGAAGCCCACTCTAACGTGAAAGAGTGTCGACTTGATAGAGGAGGAACCGAAAACAACGATACCAAGAAAACGACCAAAAAAATTCACCAAAAAAAAGCGAAGCGGAATGGGAAGCGGAACGAAAATGAAAATGATAGAGCGGGACCGTGAGGTTATGATAGCGGGAACTGGGTCGGCGCTGTTCGCTTGCATCATCGTAATGAGTGATGAGTTGAACGAAGTCCACGATATCCATGATCCGTCCCCGTCGCGGTCCTACAGGTATTGGGTTATTATTCCGGGATACACAAAAGCATGGGGCGATCGACGAGAGGGAAGTCGATCGCGTCCGGCACATTTTCTTCTCTTATTTTTTTCCTGATCTATTGTCAGCTGTAACATGTATTGTTGTCCGCTGTCGTCATTCGTACTGGGGAAGGGTTGGAACGCAACGAACCAGTGGATAAGATTGTCAACGTGTCAACGGATTTCAGGGGATTCGCTACAGCAGCCAACCCCACTACACACTCATTTTCATCTACTCTTCTCCTTTGTCCATTCTTTCTATTTTGTCCAAACACTTGTCATACCATCATCGGGAATTGGGAGAGGGAAAACGGGAAACTAAAAGATTTCATTCGGGGGAATGGGAAATTGAGGCCAACCTCAAATCATGTATTCGAATCCCTCACATATCTGTATTGCTAGTGTAAGGTTGTCGCGGCCGTCACTTCATGTTTCATGTACCAAGGTCTAGACAATGAGCACGAGCTCCAAAGGGGGATGTTGGGATCTTTAGCGATTTTAGAATTTTGCATAGTAATCTTGGTTTTTATTAGTTAATTCAACAACATACATACCTACTTCACACTTTCCCTAGGAAATTTCGATGTGATCAACAAAGTTTAGTGACACTTACCTTTCCTTAGCAGCTTAGAAGTAAAATGGTCGCTATTTCTAGTGACTTAGACACTTATGGTACCTGTAGACTAGCGTAAGTTTAAGCAGGCTATAAATAAGCCTGTCTTTCCCAGTCCATCCAATCATAACGGTCACTACTACCCAAAAGCGGTAGCGGTTCAAGTATGCTAACTCTTTGCTGGCACCTATCTGTTTGTTCTACTAGCTATGAAATCCATCTATTACAAGTAAACCACCTAGGTATGTATTCAAATCAACTAGAATCAGATAATTGCAAACCGCTCGATTGGTCAAGTATCGAATGCTTTGTCACTGGGTCGCTGTGAAATGGGAAGCGAGTAAGTACTGGATCTAAATGAATATTTTTACTGGCGAGCTTAGATACTGGATAGGGAAATAAGGGTATCCAATTTCCATCGTGATAGAAACCTAGAGGCCATATTGGTCGGGCAAGACATCTCTCTCCCCTTCAGATTACATTTCACTACGAACAGAGTCATGGCTCTCGTCGACGATTTCCAATCTTGATATGGGGCAGAGAAAGGGAAATTGAATTGTGTCGCCCTCGGCCAAGATAACCGAGGTCTTTCTAATTACAAAATTGCATTTGAACAAGACGGTTGTGAGCAAGAAAGCCAGTGGAGCTTATCGCAACATCTGCCGCCAGCCAACGTACACACAACAGCCGCACTTCTGTAACGGCGAAACTCGACACAAATTCCGGAAATGGATTATTTTTCGTAAGGTGGGATTGACAAATGCGCGAGGCGCCATTTTCTGTTCGACCCTTCGTCAGTTGCTGCAGCCCAGAAAGAAATGAGTATGAGTAAGGGTAAGCTGACCTCGGGAAAAACTGACCTGAAATATATCATCACAGACTGCGGAAGTCCTACCAGGTACCAGGTAGACGTTCCTTTTCCGTTGTACCAAAAGCGGAGTATAGCACACCATTTGCGGGATATGACCATCCTGACCGTTCCTTCATCATATAGCATCACCGAGAGAATATACACCAATTAGTAGCGTTGTATGGTGTGGCGCAAACAGCCAAGTTCAACTGTAAACCACGACAAGGGGAAATGCGAGAATTGGTGTTTATTGCGATTGGACTTTGCTGCTTAAGAGTATCCCTAATCCTCTCATGCCAATCGTACAAGCGTCCCATGTAAGCTCACTAGGGATAACCATATATCGAGCCTGTTTCAAAAAGCTCGTAGTGTGAATCAGTACCAAAATTCCAACACCTGACGTTGGAATTGCTAGCTAAACAAAACCATCTCCATTATCGAGAAATTGGAGAATCAAGTCTTAGGTTGGGCTGCTGGCGCCGAAGTTTCATTCGTCGCCGCAGCGAGAGTCGTCTGAACGAGACCAGACGGCGCTGAGTTTGCTTGCGGTCCTGGCTTGCGAACATTGTTACCATCCTCCGTAAGGAGCTTGCTCAGAAGCTGCAAGTCGCTGCGGGCTCTGCTGTCTCGTTCCAGAGCTCGTCGGACAGCTGTCCATTCACCTTCCTTCATACGGGCGGCGTGAGGGAGTAGGAACGAGACGATGGGGCTATCGAAAAGCTCACCCAGAACTTCCTTGGCCTTCGTCTCCCCTTCGGCTTGCGCAGCTCGTAAAGCGGGCACCATGGGATCCTGGGTCACCTGCATTGGGACTGCTGGAGCCGGGCGCTGTGTTGGCATCACCGGTTGACCTGGAATCTTGGGCGGTGGAACTGGCGTTTGGCTATAGTGGGGCGGCGCTGCATTCTGATTCCCGAATGATCCTTGTGGGGTTGCGGGTGACCATGTCGGACCCGACATGGATGGTCTCGACTGAAAGGGAGTCGGGGATCCTTGGGCCGGCGACGCTACCGAGGCGGCCTTCTGCAGCTCGGTTCGTTGCTGGTCTATTGGTATCTGAAAGTGCTTCTCATCTCGATACACAAATATCATCAAGAGCATGGGCTCCGAACGCTTTAGCGGTACAAGATGACCGTCAATGTTCTGTACCGGCTCTGGAATTGGGCCGTCACCCTCCGCCACCGGTACCAAGTACGTGTCTCTAACATTACCAAGCTTCTTCTCGTTGACGACTCCATATCGTTTCTTTGATTGAAAATAATCAATGATCTTCTGGAACTGCTGGCGCGCATTGGAATCTGCTGGGTGGCTTGGAGTGAGACTGGTGATTACCAAGTCGACCTGGTTGTTATATCTCATGCCACATAAGTAGGGAATAGCCTTCTCCTCGGTGATCCGACCAGCAACCATAAGCAAAGGGGGTATCAGATCTTTCCATGCGACATTTCTGACCTTGCTAAGGTCGGCTCCGCCAGCATACTTCGCTACAACATCGACTTCGCCCACATTGGTCATGACTAGAGGACCGCGCCAGACAACTTCCGGGTCAATATTCTCGGACGGAGAATACGGTGGCGAATCTGTTCCGTCTTCCTGAAGCAATCGATCGACTTCGGGATCATCAACAGGTCCAGTTGGTTGAACCTGAGCCGAAGCTCGTCTTTGGTGCGTAGCTGAAGGTGAGCGCACGCTAGAAAAGACCTTGCCAATATCAAAGTCAGACTTCTTGGGCGAGTGCTGGGGTTGAGTCTCGATTCGAAGAGGTCCACTAGTTGAATTGGATCTACTAGGGTTGGTAGAAGATGGCAACTTGTCAGCAGAGGATGGAGCCGGCTCGCTATTCGCGTTCGCGTTGGCGGTTTCGCTTGTCTCCCTAGGCCCTTGGCGGCGAAGGTTAGATGAAGCGTCCTCAGCCTCAACTGCAAAGTGATCCTGTTCTACTAGCTCTTCTCCCTTATGGGTTCGTCGAACCCGAGGTCCATCATCCGTAATTAGAATAGACTGCTTTTCGGCACGAGCCTTCATCTCAGCAGTCTCGCGTTGTTGCTCCTTGGTCGCCAGTTCATCACCAGTCATCACCACAAAGGAGGTAGGCGGTAATGATCTATGTAGCACTTGAGCTGCAAGCTCAACATTGTTTTTCAGACTGAACATAAGTGTCCGAAGCTGTGAGGCGTTGTGGGAGGTATTCGGATGGGTATCAAGAAAAGCACGCTCAATCTCAATAGCTAGACGTTCAGTAACACTTTTCTTGGATGAACCTTGGGGAATAGAATAGAGCTTTTTCTTCTCGGCGAGATCAATAGCGGCATCGAGCGACTTCTGCAGGCCTTGTGCTGCTTGTCTTCGAGGACCCTCTAGCTTCTGGATACTGTCTGGGAGATCACTCGGAGGAGTATATTTCGGAACTGATGGGCCCGCCTGGGTCGGCTCTGCTGTAACCTTGCGAAGCTTGCTCTGCGGTCCTTGCGAGTGATCGCGGGACTTACGTTTGCCCTTAGCGACCGGCTCAGACTCGGCGACGCTACCTTCCTTCTTAACATCGGGCGTCGGGGATGGCTTCGCTTTTGCGTTCGCAGCGGCAGCACTCGGCGATGCGCGGTCCTTCGTGTCGCTTGTTCTCTTGCCCTTGCTCTTTCTACCGCCCTTCTTGCGTTTCTTCTCTTCCTCCTCCTGACGCTTGCGTTGGCGATCTTCCCATGGCTTCTCTCCTTTCTTTATCGCGTCGAGGGTTACCTTATGGTCGGCAGGTTTACATACTTCGCAGTAGTATTCCTTTGGCAAATCTTCCGTGAAGATGCTCAACCCCATACATACGTTATGCTGCCAGGCGCCGCACTGATCACAAGCAATCCAGGCTTCATTAGCGTCGTCGTCTTGTGTCGTAGCACCGCAGATACATCGAATGATCTCTTCCTCGTCCTGCTTCTCGTCTTTCTCTACTTTCTTGCTTCCCTTTTTGGTCTGCTTTCGCTTCGGCTCCGGTCCGTTCTCGAGTTGATCGAAGGCTTTCGTGTGCTGACCCTTGGTAGCTCGCACGGATCGACGTGGTTCGTGCTCTGCTGACGCGAGAAGCGTCCCTGTTAGTGAACGTGTTGTTGGACGATGGGAGTCACTTGGGAGGGTTAGATCCAGCGTGTTGTCGGCGCTGGATCGAGTACGGGATGAAGGAGGGCTTGGACTGCCACTAGCAGTGTCGGCGCTGAAGCGGACGCGCTTACCAGACATCACGAGGGATCGGTTGACCTCAGGCGGGAGATATGGAGCTTAAGTAAAGGAGTGTTGAATATTCAGTTGCTCAGCAGTTGCTCAGGATTGACGGAGATTTGTCTACGCTGCGCCGCGATTTTGGAGAAATTGGCAAGGTAATCACGTCTTCTACAAAGCTGGATTGGTCTAAGATGTGACCCGAAGGCAGAGGCGAAACGACCGAAATACGATCCCAAGCACTTTTAACACCTATTGAGACCTAACCTCCTGTCTCTTTCTTCGTGTTTTCAGTTAGTAGAGGGATTCGCGAACCCGCGAACTCTGCGATCGGGTAATCGGGTGACGGCGACGCAGGTATGGCGGGGGTATATGGCGGAATATGGTGGACGATGTTGATGTCGCGATTTTGATCAATTAAGCTAGCGACGCGACAGAACCAACGTCTTAGCGGAAAGAAGCAGCAAAACAATGTGACATGCGTGTATAGACCAGGCTATGCGGTATGGTCCAGTGTCATGTTATGGATTGTGCTGTGACGTGGTCCAGCTTTTGCTAAAGAAATGGTCGCGAAGTGGAGGTCCTGACCGTTGAAATCAATTGTAAAATGGAGAAAATGGGGGATGATTGGGAGCACGGACCTCGGGCAAAGCAATACAAAGGTTATGTAAGCTATCGTACCGGGTTGCTGGGCAGCTCTTGAAATCTGGAGGTACAATTCTAGGTTAGTGTAAGCAAAAGGTTTATTCTAGAAGTGCTGTGTTTTCTGTGGCTTGACTGGCTTGACCTCAGCGGTACTCAACCACTAGCCACAGTAGCCTTGTAAGAAGACGGGGTACGTACTTACCTAGTGGATACTTGCATCACACTTTGGAGGGCACCTTCCAGACAGCATTGTACGCGTCGGAGCTCTTGCCTAGCTACTACCTGGGTAGCCTTAGTTTACAGCCCTGCCCTTTCCAGCAATCAATTCGCAGCATCCAGTCTTCTCAACTTCGATAACCAACTAACAAACAATCCCACCAAGAACCCACATCCGCCGGTTTCCTTCCATCAATTAACCTAAATACCCAAAGCTAGAGAAATCAACCCGCTTGACGATTTCTCACGGCCGGATTTCCCAACATGTCTCGCCGTTACGATTCCCGAGTAAGCTAAAGCTCGGGAGCTACCTACACTTTATGCGCAATAGCTCACATTTTCGACAGACTACTATCTTCTCCCCAGAAGGTCGCTTGTATCAGGTCGAATATGCCCTCGAGGCTATATCTCATGCCGGAACTGCGATCGGAATCCTGGCTAAGGATGGTATCGTCCTCGCCGCCGAACGTAAAGTTACGTCGAAGTTGCTAGAGCAAGATACGTCGGCAGAGAAGCTTTACATCTTAAACGAGTGCGTGCCAATTTTTCGTCTAGCCGTTTCTATTGGATATATGGGTAGAAATATTAACAAGCCTCAGCAACATGATTTGTGCGGTAGCTGGCATGACGGCCGATGCGAACATCCTCATCAACTATGCTCGACAAGCCGCCCAAAGATACCTCCTAACTTATAACGAGGATATTCCATGCGAACAGCTGGTGCGAAGACTATGCGATCTCAAGCAAGGATATACTCAACACGGTGGACTGCGGCCGTTTGGTGTATCCTTCATCTACGCGGGATGGGACCCCCAGCGACAGTTCCAACTTTACCTGAGCAACCCCTCAGGTAACTATGGCGGCTGGAAGGCCACAAGCGCCGGCGCCAACAATGCGAGCGCCTCAAGCTTGTTGAAGCAGGACTACAAGGAGGATTGCACGCTAAAAGAGGCCTGTGGTATGGCAGTTAAGGTACTGAGCAAGACCATGGATTCTACCAAACTGAGTAGCGAGAAGAGTGAGTTGACTAATACGTTGTTATGATGGCCTGCTACAATGCTAATATAACTTGCAGTCGAATTTGCGACGGTGGGACAGACCAAGGATGGTAAGATCTACCACCGTCTTTGGAGCGCGGACGAGATCACTGCGCTCTTGAAGGAGCATGATCTAGCAAAGGACGAGAGCGCGGAGGATAAATAAGCAAGAAATCTAGATGCCCGGATGTCTAGAACCCAGGCCCCGTAGACTTGAGTTTACGTGGAGTCGATAGTGTATCAATACAACTTCCAATGAGAGCACTATCCAGACATGAGACCAACACATCGTCGTGGTCAACATGACAAGCTCATGGCACTATGAAGTCGCGACTGCTTGGCTTGCTCTCTGAACTGGACTTAATTAGGTACCTACTAGTTAGGAACGCCAAGTCTGAATCCCATAAGAGTTCATAAATGACGACAGTCTCTAACGTTATATATCCGTGCTACCTTTTACTGCACATGTGTCACTGTAGCTTGATTACTTAATCGGACCAGGGGTACAGAATACATTAGGTATTAGGTATCAGGCACCTAGGCATTAAGTTGATCCAACCCGAGTCTAGACCCCAAAAGTTGATACCTTTGAAAGTCAATTAGGTAGGCCAATTAGTGCCTCCACATTTAGCACGCATGTGAGCGAATGCCCTGGACCAATCCCCTATCGTCGTCATTTCTGGGTCGCTGCAGCTGCATGAACCCAGGAAGTTACGCTGGGTATTTCACTGGACAAGAACCTAAAAGTCTAAAAGTGTTCAGTGTCCCTGCCCCGCCAAATAAAAACATCTCGAGCATACTTCCGTTCATTTTCATGATCTGACACTTTTTAGCTTAGAGAAGCTAAAACTCCTTTTTTTTATATACACGTCTACATCTTTCTCCATAATCATGCTTCAGGTTCCCCTTCGAGAGAAAGCCAATGGTGCTAATAAAGGCACCAAGGCCGTCATCTTAGTATGCGCATTCCTGGCCTCTAACACTTAGACGAGACCCCACTAACCAGATCGTCTATACAGGTCGGCGGCCCTTCGAGAGGAACCCGGTTTCGCCCTCTCTCGCTCGATGTCCCCAAGGTCAGTTTGCCGATCGACTCTGGATCCATTACCAACAACGTCGCCAGCATATTAACGGTGCTATAGCCCCTCTTCGACGTTGCTGGACACCCTATCGTATGGCACTGCTTGACCGCTATTGCGAAAGTACCCTCCATTCAGGAGGTTGTCATGATCGGTTACTACGACGAATCCGTATTCAAGGACTTCATCAAAGAAGCCGCCTCCGAGTTCCCTAACCTCCCTATCAAATACCTACGAGAATACCAAGCCCTAGGTACCGCAGGCGGCCTTTACCACTTCCGAGATGCGATTCTCAAGGGCCGACCCGAGCGCATCTTCGTCCTCAACTCGGACGTGTGCTGTTCTTTCCCGCTCAACGAGATGGCCGAGCTCTTCGACAATAAGGATGCCGAGGCTGTCATTCTGGGAACGCGGGTGAGCGAAGACGCCGCGACCAACTTCGGTTGCATTGTGTCCGATCAGCACTCCCGCCGTGTCCTACATTACGTCGAGAAGCCGGAAAGCCACATATCCAACCTGATCAACTGCGGCGTATACCTATTCAGCGTCGACGCCATCTTCCCCAGCATCAAGACCGCCATCAAGCGAAGAACCGACCGACCCAGGTTGGTCTCGTACCCGTCGTCCGAGAACCTCGAGTCGAGCTTCATGGCTGAAGAGGACGAGGAGCGCAAGAACGAGGTCATCCGTCTGGAACAGGACATCCTAAGCGACCTCGCCGATAGCAAGCAGTTCTTCGTCTACGAGACAAAGGACTTCTGGCGCCAGATCAAGACCGCCGGCTCCGCCGTCCCGGCCAATGCGCTATACCTACAGAAGGCCTACCAGACCGGATCCAACGAGCTTTCGAAGCCTTCTCCCAACGTCATACCTCCCGTGTTCATCCACCCGTCCGCCCACGTCGATCCTACTGCCAAGCTCGGCCCCAACGTTTCGGTCGGACCCCGTGTAACAATCGGACCCGGCGCGCGTGTCAAGGAGTCTATCGTCCTTGAGGATGCGGAAATCAAGCACGATGCTTGCGTTCTGTACTCTATTGTCGGCTGGAACAGCCGCGTAGGTGCCTGGGCCCGTGTCGAGGGTACACCTACACCCGTCACGAGCCACTCGACTAGCATCGTGAAGAACGGCGTCAAGGTACAAAGTATTACCATTTTAGGCAAGGAATGCGGTGTCGGAGATGAAGTGCGCGTGCAGAACTGTGTCTGCTTGCCTTTCAAGGAGTTGAAGAGGGTAAGTCCTTACATCTCTTTTCCCCCAAAACGAAATCATCTGTGCAGGATTGGACTAACATAACTCCAGGATGTCGCTAACGAAGTCATTATGTAAGAAGATTGGGTAAACGGATCAACTTACAGGCCTCTCATCTTCCTATGAAATGTAAGGGTCTATGGATCTAAGGAGGCACAGTCGGGTTCCGTCTTCGGTGTAATGGACTAATGGACATTAAAAAATGCGGTGATACCTACGGCGTGACATGCTAGCAAGCGAGGTAGTTAGGACTTTTATATAATTGACGACGCGCTTGCTTTGACTCAACTCATGATTGCGGTTTTACTGGCCTGCAGGCCTAGGCTATTCTCTTATCGTGTTGACCGTACAAGCAGATGAAATCGTCAATGTCATGCTGAAGTATAATGTTAAAGCATATCTCCAAAACAAATTATAACAATGATAGATTCGTATGATGTGAGATCGAAACCGATGGAATCACTTCATCGTGTTTGATGGCAGTTGAACACTCTTCACTTTGATCTTGGCAGAGAGATTAGGTGGTCGTAGGCAATGATCAATGCTATAGCTGGGTCAAATAAGGACTATTAGCTTTCTACTTACCAATTGGAAAGACCATGGTTCCGGTGTATTCGAAGTTAGTCACGGCTGAATATTGAAAATAGTCTATATCATAGTATCTGGGCGTCGAGAAACGTGAAGACTAAAATTGTACCGTACCTACGTGTTCCGAAGGAAGAGAGATCCAGATGTGTTCCCAGTTTCACTTCCATAAACTGTAGGGGCTTTTCATACTTAAACCTAATAACCATCATTGCCTGTAAGAAAGAATTTGAGCCATAGGTATAAATGCGTCGTTGATCAATTTAGCCGGTAGGTACATTGAAATGTAGAATCTATTTACACATACAGGCACCCCTGAATCTCAGTTCCAGTATCGAAAGAACAACAGCTAACTCGATATCTATTAATGTATTGATAGATACCTACCTGCCTATATAGGGCAGCTATGTGATTCAATTTCAACAAAACAGATATTTTCCAATACAATACAATGGCTATTTACTTATCTACCTAGGTAGGGTTAGTCCTGAGGCAGCAGTCTCTTGTGAAGGACTGGTAGTTTCTCGTTCGATCACGATTTATCTACCTAGGTAGCTAGAAAATTATTACATACCTATGTCAAAGGCTCTGCTTTGGTATTGGGTCCATAGGTACCTAATGATTCGACTAACAAGATTATCTCCCAGTGACACGACCACCGGGTTGTTGAACCAGTCCACCCCCTATTCTAGACAGATTTATAATCCAAGTCATCTTCCCAACTACGAATTGTAACTATAGCAATTTTCACATTTTATGGTCTAAAGCATTTATGAAGAGAAGTAAGACTACACACTTCGGAAGCGGCCATGAATAATATTAAGAATCGATCTAGTAATAATGCACATAATAACCACAGACTCAGTCCGCGAGACGAACGTAAGTAATAATACCGCTCCATTTTTACTTTTTTTTTTTATCGCAACTCCAGTCAACCTCTACCGATAAGCAAAGATCGTACTCTCCGTCTCGGCCGTGTACTCGGTCCGCCTATCATCCTCCGGCTTCGTGTTCTGCGGAGCGAAAGGCGGAAGCGGCGGCCGGGAGCCCGCGGGGAACCTATCCTGCGCCCCGACGACGGAGGGCTGCGACTGCCTCCACGGATGGGAATCTCTCCACGTCGGAGCCGAGTCCTGCCACGGCGGCGTCGCCATCCACTGCCCGCTCGGCGCACGGCTCGTACCGCCCATACCCCCTATCTCACCTCCCATCCCTCCTCCCATTGCCACTCCCACACCTGCTCCTACTCCTACTCCTCCCGCTCCTCCTCCACCCCTACTATCCCTCAAATACACCGACGGCGCCACAGCACTTATCGGCGGACCCCCTGCCCCTCCTCCCGCAAACCCTCCCGCCTCCGACATCCCCCTCTGCGACCTCTCCCTCTCGAACTCCTCATCGCGCAGCGCATTCATCTCCTCCATCGCCATCCTAGCCCTCCTCCTCCTACTAAAGAAATAAATCAGCCCCGCCAGCGCGACCACGGCGACCGCGCTCCACACGCCGATCGCGACTTTCGCGCCCGTGCTCAGCGCCGGCGGGTCCGCGGACCCGATGGCCGGCTGGCCCGAGGACGCGGCGGTTATGCCGGCCTGCGCGGAATTACCGTTAGAGTTGGTGTTGGAACCGGAAACGGCGGGGTTACTGCTAGTAGAGCTGCCGGTGGTCTGCGCCGGGTCGGAGTCGGCGGCGGCGGCGGCGGCCTTGCTCGGCGTCGAGTCGGCGGAGCTCGCGGACGAGGCGCCGTCTTCTTCGACGCCGTCGCCGCTGACGGATGACGCGGACGAGACCGAGTCCGCCTCTTCTTTTTCTTCTTCGTCGTCTTCGTCCTTAGGCGCCGCCACGACAGGCGCGGAGGCAGAAGCTTGTCTGGGCCCGACTTTGGTGGCAGCGCCGACGCCGTGCCGGCGCAGGAAGTTGTTGAGGGCTTCTTCCGGCAGCGCGGCTTCGCTCGCGCTGGTGCCCTGGATCCAGGCCGCGGTGCTGACGAAGGTCACGACGCGCGCTGCGCTGATGGTGCTGGGGAAACGGTACGCCATCCTGTGCGACTGAGTAGGTAGGTAGGTAACTAAAAAAAAATGAAGCGGAATAAAGAGAAGCGAATGGATCGTCGTCGAGACGAGTAGAGCTCTTCTCGCGTCCTCCTGACCTTGTTTGTCCGATGAATGAGTTCGGAATTACACGTTCCTCCACCTGGGATTAGTCGTGTAGCGTAATCGGGAGGAGAGACCGTGCTTCGACGAGAGACCGAATGCTGATGAGCGGGCAACTACCCTCCAACTCGTCCTGGAGGTGTGAATTTTGAGTTGCTAGAGAATATCGGGCTAGGAACGAAGGAAGGAAAAGAATGGATCTTCTTCGAGGGGGGAGGCTAGGTAGTTGTACGTATATAGTATCGCCCGGCAGAGCTCCCAAAGCGGTAATAGCGCACGCGATACCTCTTCTGCGATCGACATCGCTTCTCTAAGTGCCGTGTCGCGAGCAAGCCGACATTGGATCGTTTCGAGTGTTAACAATAGAAAAAGGCGCCGTGCTTTGATCTCTGGTAGGCTGTGATGCCATAGCGAGATTCCGGGGTAGCGATGAGATGAAACAAGATCGCAACGCCAAGGGGTATCAATGTCCTCTTGGCGAGCCGCAGCATTTGCTTGGCTACCGAATCGCTTCATCTGATCCTCCACCGTACTAACTTTGACACCTCGAGAAAATTGAGATCAAAAGATAGCCTCGCAAAAGCCAAGTCCCGCCTAGATTAACTCAGACGAGCGTCGTCGCGATTGTATCGAAACGTCGACGCTGGCAGCGATCATTAGACGAAACAAACATGTCTCATCATCAAATGTTTCAACCTTCAATTTTTCATTAACCTACAACGCTTATTAGATAACAATTCCTACTCAATCATATCCTTTCAAATGGTCAGCTTGTGGGGGTTTATGGGCCTACCTAAGTACCTATGCGTACAGGTTTCGCGTACTAATAGACTTCAAAGATCCACCGTATATGAATCAGGCCTTGGTACCAAGGTTGAGCCTCCATAAGTACAAGATTGATAGCAATCGCGGCTATGTAAGTAACTTGAGGCCTTGATGGAAGGTCACTATACAGTGATCAGATGCGTTCCCATAGATAATCAGTCCCACGGGGTTTTCACGTACCTAAGGGAATGAGCTGTTGTTAGGATTCCATGCCTGGTCTATCAACCATCACAATGTTAACGATGTCGACGAACACATCTTCCGAGATATACTCTCTTCGTACACTAACGGTTATCAGGGGGAAGGGTTTAGCATCCAACTCCCAGATATCTGAAGGGATTGCCATGGCGTGAGAGAACATCGGTTTTGTGTCCTGGCGGCAGTCTTGCCATTGAATTCCTTTATAATTTACTGACCTCTGAGAATCGGGCAAATTGCGGAAATGCACTGGAGCGAGTCCAACGAACAAGTGACCGTCATGTAAAACCCCTAGCTGAAGATGTCGACTAAAAAGCAGAGAAAAGCCATAATCCTCTCCTATTGTCTTTAGTTCGTAGCGGAATTCGAACAAATGACCATAGACTTGACCGTTCACCGCAGCCAGCTGCTCGCCACCGGAATAATCGACACCAGAGACAGTAGCCACATAAAACCATTTATGTGAGTGTCCAAGGATATGTCTTTGTATAATGACGTCACCACAACCGAGTACTTTCCGTTTCTCGGGTGCGATATGAAGCAACTCTGTGTTGTCTAATGCACGTTCCCATTCGTTAATTAAGTTAAACTCGTCATCAAAAATCAATTCTTTCGTCCTTCCATAGTTTCTTTGCCCTGATATCTGTAAGGGAATGCGAAGCAGCCAATGACGATGCTCCTCGTCGCCGCAGGGCAAGATTACGACCAAACCCGAGCGTATTTGCGATATCCGTGGTCGCTTCCAGTGATATACCGTGTCACCCTCATATGCAATTGGCAATTGAATACGGATCTCAGAACCAGCTACCACTGGTAAAGGGATATTGGCCCGATCACGATGCCGATAATACCCATCGGCTACTGGCGAAGGAATGAACTTTCCAGAAGATGCGAAATCTCTCGGGGACTCTGCGAGTAATCCAAGGAGAGGCACCGGTTCTGACCATGGGATATCCTTTCTTCCCCACAACACGTCGTCATCAATAAAGTATATCGAAGATCTTGGGACTACGGTGCCCCACGCGAAAATAGAATGATCATCGAACCTCACTTTGATAATCTCTTCCTGAAGCCTTCTGAAGGCTTTCTTTCCCTCCCCGTATAGCAAGGGCATATTGACATCGAAAATTCCGAGCAAGCAATACGCAATATCCTCGACCCGAGATGTGTTTCGGTTCGATGCCCAGGACATTCTCTTAGCCACGCTTGCCAGCTCGAGGTTCTTGCTGTCTAGGAACTTGGGTTCGATATGAGTGATGAAATGAATAATCGGGGACAGTTCAGACTTGTTGCCTAGAAGACACCAGTCCTTTGAGTAGAAGCGAAGGTCAGCCGGAGCTATTAGCTCCTGAAGCGTCCAACCCCGTGTATACCAGCGACTCCTTGAGAACTCCGAGTCCAATGTCAATGGTGCATCTCTCGAAACATCGGATAAGTAAGCATAGCAGATCCTTGAGTCTTGGTACCACCGGAACATGGAATTTATTGCTTCGGATAGCTCCGCGCTACTAGCCTTGTCGATGCAACACCTGAACACGAAGAGTTATTAGTATCTACCTATGTATGAGCAGGTGTTGTCACGGGGTAATCATGGCTCACGTATCGACCCAGACCCATTCGAGACCATCTTCCAAAGCCTGTCGGCAGCAATATGAGATTTTTTGATATCCTTTCCTGAGTTGCAGTTCGGATAATGGGATCTCCTGCCAATCCCGAAAACTAATTTCTTTCTCACCCCATGTATGGGAGAGAATCGCATACGCGGGGACTTCTCCGTCGACAATGAACTCCTCGAACTTTTGACGGGAGGCATGAAGGAGACGCATCTCGGCTACTCGTTGATAGGTAGTGTATTCGACCTCCGTGGATATGTAGTAAGTAATGGGGAGACTCCGCACTTTGCAAGAGGATTCTGTCGCAACAAACTGTTTTCTTGCTAGTTATCTAGTTTCTAGGGTTAGGAAAACATCTTGAGGCAGTTTGAACTTTTTAGGGCAGCTTGAAAGGCCGTTAAAAGCCATGGCTACCTGACGAGGCTGTACATATCCCTGATACGTCGAGTGGCATACATTAGTAATCTACCTACCTACCTACCTACCTACCTACCTACGTAAGCAAACTCCATTCCCGAGCTGTACAGTCACGTGTCTATTCATAGGTATTACTATTTCTCTTTGGTTTCATTTCCTTTGGCAATAAAAAAGAATTGACGTTATTCGGGACTATTAGATATCCAAGACTTATAAGCATGCATCAAGAACTTGTTTTTTGTTATCCTGACATTCCATCTAGCGAACAACGTACCTGGATATTTTTGAATTAGACATTCGTGGATTCCATCCACGAGACCGCCTAGGGGTAAAATAAATCTTTTCAGTGCAGCTGGTCGACCTCACAAGCACCCGGGTAGGTATCTAGGTCAAGCAGTAAATACGCACTGATGTTTATTAATGAATGTATATGATGTCCAACGGAACGAGTTGGATAACCTCGGGATCGTATTCATGTAGAACATCTATCTACCTATACACTTACCTATAACCAGTCCCACATCCCGAACCCGAAGCCGTAGACACGGAACGGAGTGGAGCACGGGGAACTAGCGACCCTAACGCCATGCTATGTTAGCGCCGTAATCACTAGGCCGGGGCTACTAGTATCGTACGGGCAGTGGGCTTACGCTACTTGGGTAGATACTTAGATAACCACGTGTTGTAGTACATGCAGGACTAGGCGCATTCTAACCCCTCCTTAGCCTTTCAGCTCCGGCTATTATTGGGTTCAGTATTTCTACTAAGTAGTACCTACTATAGTATGCATGTATAAAGCTGCAAATAGAACACCCTTCAGACGAAATTACGACATGAATCTGATGCCAAGGAGGCGGGATCGAAGATCGAGAAAATAGGAGGGCGAAAGACCGGTTTTCTCATATGGGGGAATATCAGGTTGAGCATCGTTGGCCCCTTTTTACAACTGGCGGCTTTTCCCATGCGAGATGTCCGTTGTAGGCACTCAGTCACGTCATAGAACGAGCAGGGAAAATATGAATCTGGTCGATTCTCCAACGTGTACTACCTAAACGCTGTGGCTATCCGACACCTTCCAGTCAGCCCGGCCCCCTCCCCTTAACCCCTAACCCCTCCTCCATGCTTGCCGGATGAGGGATGGCGAGGTTGGGCGTACAGTGATCAGGTAAGGCTACAATGGCAAGACTATGTACCTGGTAGGCAGTACACTACCTACGTACGGCGTGCTGCAACCTAAACGAAGTAGCGCCACAGCCGCGTATTTTCTCATTCCGAGTCTAAGCGGCCGTATTCAATAGGTAGGTACCACTACGTAACAATCGTATCCCTAGGAAACGAGGGAAGAAACTAGTACGATGACCCAGCGGACCCTCGTCTCGGGCAACTGTAATGAGTTGCGCTGCTGTCTAATATCATAAACGTTTCAGGGGCTGCAAATGCCACCCGTTCGTCATACCCGCCTTTCCGGTCCGGCCGGTACGGGCATAGTCCGTGGTGCGCCCTAGCAAAGCCGTTACACATTCGTGAGTTTTAGGACATGTATGCTTGGACGTACTTGACACATACCTAGGTCAAGGGAAAGGGGTTGGGAAACGTCGGCGTTAGTAGGTACGATATGTACCTAAGGCAAGGTGAGGCCGGCATTGGCTTGATAATACTGTGTATGTGACGTCTTTCATTAGACCCTGAAGAGCTGGAGAGTATGTACAACTTAGGCAGCATACAAAAAAGTTGGTGGTTGATAGATTGATCGTACTCCTTATGTCTCGGTCCAAGTCGTCCCAATGTGACGGTGGGCAGTAAATCTATTGGCGGGGAGTCCTGTCCCTCTACTTTCTACGTATGACCTGCATAACCGCTGGTACCCCTTAAGTTAGGCATTGGAGGAGACGGCTGGAAGGCCATCACCTGAGGGCATCGCAATTGCGGTCAATTGGTGTGAATACCATAGCCTCGATCGGGTCCGATGGTTCTGGATCAATTGCAACCAAGTGCTAATTACCAATCCTTCTTCACGGGCAACGAATTGACTTGTCAAACCACTTTCTTACCTAGTCGTGATTAGCATTTGCCTAGCTGTGTGCCCGACGGCCTCATGTATCACGCGAATTCAGCAATGATGTTCGCTCGTTTAGATGATATGATATTTCGGGCGGAAAAAAAAACGTCGCTGGACCGACTGGGTACGGAAACTGGGTCACGAACTTGGTGCCCGTACCCAGATAGGATGCCCAGTTTGTCGCCTATCTACCATCAAGAGAGGAATCGGTCCGCTACATATATAGATAGATTTACGGGCGTGCGCATATGCCCGCTGCGGACTAAGCCTTACGAGAGCCGTAAACGAGCGTCCCCCCTCCCGGGGATGGTGAGAAAGGCATCTAGAAGGCAGATGGCATGTTCTATCGCCACATTTCTCTCCCCGCGCTCGTTGCTTCTCGTCCGTTTTCGTCGCGCAAAGGCCTAATTCGTCGGGTGTGGGAATGTGGGATATACACGGTAGCACGTAGGTCAGCATCTATACCTGTTCCTATCCCGCGAAAGGTGCGACGAGAGATAAGACAAACTACGCACATACCTATGTCATCTCAGCTCTCGTGGGTAGCACTCAGTGAATTTTTAGCTGATGCTATTTCGGTCGTGGGCGAATGCGACTTTATGTATGCACTGCGCGAAGAAAGGCTGGCGCCTTGCCATTGCTTACACCACGCTACGGTACCCATACACTAGCTACTAAATACGCAGTAGCACTTACATCTCCGCCCCCAATCGACAGGAAATGGGTGTGTGGTCGCTCAAGCCTCAGCACGTAACATACCTACATACACACGGACGAGATCCCGGCCTGTGATTGGGGACACATGCGCCCCCCCGGGTCCGTGAGACAGAAGGACCCAAATTGGGAATCTCTGGATGAGATGGATGGATGGAATGAGATGGGGACGGTAGGACGAAAATTTTCTTGGTCTGATCACATCAGCACCGTAAATAGTCACCGGGGATGACCAACTGCCGCCGGGACAGACGCGGGTGGCTTGAGACGCGGACAGGGGAAGAGGGAAGAGACGTTGGTGAGACCTTTTATTTTTATTATTTTTTAAACTGTCTTCTTGGTTTTCGGTAGCCTTTCGCTATTGCGTATTATTAACGCTCTACCGATGTCGTCTGTGTGCCAGAATGCAACATGTCAATATTGTTGAAGACCAACCCGCCAACCTGCATTTATCGCGCGAAAGGTACCTGTGCACGCCGGAGGCTCTGATAGGGCCGTAAGGGCGTTGCAAGGCACCAAACTCGGATTACGTTGTTATTGTTTCGTTTTTATAGGTGTTTGTGCGAATAGAAACATTGTTCATACATGATTCAATCCATCCCCATGCCAGGGATATTTTGATATGTATGTACATATATGTGATCTCGGTCTAGAACAAAAACCAACACAAATTGCACTTTGGTCTCAGATAGGGGGGGCATGTGCTACCTACGCGCTCCCTTCTTTGCTACACGCCCCGTAATCCCATTGTCGAGAGCTGCGAGATGTCACCAGCCACGATTTTCTCGATTGCTCGATTACACGCAGGAGGATGATATACGATCTTCCTAATTGGAACGAGCTATGATTCGGCGGCCTTGGCCGGCGTACGAAAGTGGTATTTAATCTGCCACGGCAGATAATGGTCAAGGTTGCAAAAAAAGGAAGAAAACGAAGAACATCCTTTTCCTTGTCGCTCTTCGCGTGGCAGTGGATTCTCATGTACTGTAACCCTTCTGCCCTTCCGTAGCGCGGCCGGAATCCCAAGAAACTCCTAAGCCCGTTTCAGTGACCTTGCTGACCTTGGCTCCCTGGGCCGCTAGGTGCCGCCGTACCGTAGATTATTACTACACAATCCAGTAGGGGGACCGTGTGCTGCAAGGGTATGTACCAAGCTTTGGACTGATTACGAAGAGCAGCGGTGCGTGCCTGGGCGGATCCCGTTGGCGCCCTATTTGACCTTCATAGGTGCCTAACAACAATAGTATGACAGAACAAGTTGGAGCAGCCAATTCCACTGTGACTCGAGGATGATGTGGTAGGACAGCCCATTCGATTGAAATAACTTGTTTAATAGACTGTCGACTGTCAAAGAGGGGTAACGAGTTCTGGCGAATGAGAAACTCGACGGCCCGCCTGTTCGAAGGTCTCGATGTACGGACCTGAGGACGTTAGAGGCACGGAGGGCGTGGAGAGTCTAATCTGGGAATGTAGACATCCAATGTATGTACTGTAACCAAGACAGGAAAAGAAGTTGACCTGCAGACTGCAGCTTGAGCACGGAACACGGAATGGGCTCAGCTGTAAGACAACGGACATGGATGTTGAATCGCTAAATGAGCCTGTAAGAGCCCCTGGACGAGCGAAGTCCCAATGAAGGATGAGGGATGGTTTAAGGCCTGTAACCCTATCATGGAACCCTAACACGGGGCCTGTACTTCTGTATTCGTGAACAACAATAGACATCATCACCTCATCACAGTCAGATACGAGCGCATGGAAAGAGGCCTCAGGAATCTAGGTTGATCTCGTAGTCATTTCTCATAG